GATTTTTAGGAAATACCAACCTTCAGACGACTCCTGTCAAAATTTCATGGCAATCTGACGTTTATTTCAACAGTTACAGTGGTTTTAGTAACGCTACTTTTGTAATTTTCAAAACAAGAAATGTATTGAAAAGTTAGAGAAGCGTTAGAATGAAAGTATCGCTCTTGAAGGAGATGTTGTTGTTATATTAGTCAGCCTACGAACTTATTGAGTGATGTGTTAAGTCAGAATGAATTAGTTTGTTTTTGAGAAAATGCTGTATATTATCCTATTAATTCTGCGTTATTTTAATATTCCAAAAAACTAATCATATCATATCTATCCAGGGTTTTCAAAACTTATTCTGTAACGGAACACTTCGTAAATCCTGAAATTTCAACTGAAGACCTAGCTTATTTTGTTGGTAGGTAATAACACATAATCAATCAAATTCTAAAAAAAATATGAGAAATACATTCATTATTTATTTTGTATTTTTTTAATTCTAGGTTTTCACCTTATTAACATAGTTTAGGAAACCCTGCTGTAATCAATACAAACATTCTAGTAAGTTAGAAAAAAACACAGCAATATCTCGCTTAGTGCGGACTCACTTTAGTTCGGTTTGAATATTTCAAATCAAACTAAATTTTAATTGAGCAAAATTTAAATACATTTTAATTCTTTATTACCCGTACTATGCGAGGTATAATAATTACTATAACTTTTCCAATGAGGAAATCAATTTTATTGAAGGAAGAGTTATCATTTTCAGGTAAAGATGAATAATATCTCCAGATGTATAAAGATAGTTAGCTCGTTTGAAAAGAAATTAAGAGAAAGCATTTATTTGCTAATTTTAGAAAATTAGCCATTTGGAAGAAGTTTGTACTATAATTATATAATAAACTGCCATAATAATCGCACTAAGAATGTGTTATAGGGTCGTGTGAAATATATTATTCCATTTAGTAAATAATGATTTAATATACAAGTTTTGAACTTTACTGAAAAGTAAAATAACTTTATAGTTAGTAGTTACATATACTTATAAAAAATATTTTATAAATTAAAAATGTTTTAAATGAAAACTTAATAAATTAATCCTTTAGTCCATGATGATACACATATGTACCAGTAATATTTCAAGCATAAGTGTAATTTAGTGCAATATATCCCAAAATATATTGTAAGAATTTATTTTAATTTTACTAGTAGAATTAGATCAGTGGATACTTCACATAAACTTTCATTCAAAATATTGTTTATACACTTTCATTCAATGTTTTAATATCATGTTTGTATTACAATAACTTTATCAGTCTAAAGCTTCAAAAAATAGATTTTATTTATATAAAAACTTATTTGGAGATGCCCGGATAGTTAGACGCGATACAAGAGCAACAAAAGAGATAAAGCAAATATAGATATTCTACAGCTTATATACCCTAAAGAGGTAGTACCCTTATCAGTCCTTCAATCGGAAACGGCTTCAGGCTGACGAGGAAATTTTTTAATGTGACCAAAGTATTCGAACAACAACGAGAACATAAATTTGGACGCACATTAACATCACGAATTTACATTACAAAAAAAAATACTCTGACAAATGCCAATCAATAATTATTACTCCGTAATTATTTTAATTCAACGTCAACATGTGATAATCATTCTTATTACACATACTTAATATATTTAAACTCAATTCTAGTGATTGGTATTAACTTTAACACATTTCTGTAGTTTCATTCATTTTGTTGTTCATTCACGTTCAAAGTTGAAAAAATCAAAAATTAACTCTCGAAAAAGCAGTGTTTTTAGATTTTAGTGAATTTTTCCGAAACTATAAGAGATTGAATAGATCCAAAAGATATTAGTGATTTTCTCTGATACTACATCAGGCTACACAGTATGGGAATTTTGGAAGTTATAAGTGTTCAGCTAACTAACTTAATTATCAATTATACATTATTCTTTCTTTAAATACCTTCTTGAAAATGTTGCATTATATACAAATCTATAGGAAAGTTACTTTTTTAATTTAATAATTAATCTAAATTATCTACTATATTGCAATATATATTTACCAATTCATTTCGAATATGAACATAAACTTTTTTGTAGCAAAACGCGTATGCTACCAGTTTACATATGTAAGCAGTTGCGTTAGGTCTTGCAGCGCAACAATCTACAACTGAGACTATCGACGCAGAGTATTAACCTATTTATGGACGATCTAGGTCTCAGCTCCTGTTACCAACAGGTACAAAGGAAATAGGTACATTGTGTACATAATTAAATTAAGGGCACACGGAATGATTGTTAGCGCATTCGTGTTTTCCGTAATTAATTTCCACTGCAAATTAATAAAATTATAAAAGTCATGTTAAAAGAGGATATGAAACTAATAATTTTATATAAAATACCAATATTATACATAAATGAGCCGTAAAACATAATTGTAACTTATTATGTTATGATAAATATTACATAACAATAGCTTACGTACAAAGCGTATTTTGTTTCTTCGTGAATTAAATTAGCGGACCAAAAGAATATTTTTTAAATATTTAGATCTAGTTTTTACTGAGAATTAAAATATACACGCAAATCGTATCTAAATCACTCACTTTTTCAAATATTCGTTATTTGAACTATATTCAAACAATAGTTTCAGTAATGGCATATTAATTCAGCTGAAATCAATTATATTTATCTCTTTTATATATATTCCGAAAGTCCAAAAATTGGACAACATTAGAAAAATTTGATTTTAATTCCCTGCGTAGAGTAAACCGGTAAAACCACTTAAACGTTTACTGGTCGAATAGTTGACAAGCTTATGAATCTGTGAATTACTATACCATTTGTGTTTTCTGTTACATATTTCACAATTACGCCATAAAACAAGTATATTTGGAAAATAATTGAAATGAAGCAATTATTATATCTATTTTTTTTGTAATGTTTTTCACAAAAAATCAAATTATAACGTAGTGAATACATCAGAAGAAGTTGATGGAGAGGATTTTATTAATAATTGAAAATCGTAATTAAACAATGTTTTATTTTTATTTCAACAAAACATCAGCTTTTTATTTAATAGTTACATTTTTCACACAGCACATGTATCAAGATATTATACCATCCAATAATAATAACAAACATACAGGCTGATATGAAATAAATACTAAAAAGAAAAGAAAGAAAAAAAAACAAATATATATGTACGTATATATATATAATAGAATGGAGAGAACAGAATTGAGGGAGGGTATATAATCTATTAATTATTATATATACATATCTAAAAAAATACATTGCAAGGAAAAATATTATCTTAATTTAATATATACTTTTATAATCTACATATACATATATACAATCTATCCTCCGACTTTCTTCAACCGTACGTTTAGCATATAACAAACTTAATCGCATCATCTTATATAAATTCAATAAAACTAAAACAAGATCCTTGTTTTTTTTTACATCCATCCATATTTTTTTTATACACTAATCAAAGAAAATACAATAATAATAATAATAATTGATAATGTTAATCATAAGACAAACTTGTAAAAAATATGTAGAATAATAAATTATAAATATATGAAATACCTATAGAGCAGTCTGTCTTTGTGTCAGCAATATATTTTTTTTTCTTTCGTAATTTCTTCTCTACTGGTTGAACAATTCATTAGTGATTTTTTTTAAATTTATTTTTTATTCTTGGACCTGAAGAGATTGTTATTAATCTCCTACCATTCTAAAAGTGCTACGCTAAATTATTATTTTTTTTTGTCTTGCTTAAGAACGGTCTCTTCCACGAGAATAATTCCTTAATTATTATCTTCACATACGAAATCAATAATAAATTTACTTTATTTTCGATAAAAATAATAATTTAAAATAAATAATGAATTTAATAAAAAAAAAAAGAGTAAACAATGAGGAAGACTTGCATATGTAATATAATGTGGTCGTAAATGGCACCAACCATTCAAACATTGCACAAGTTAATTCAAAAAAAAAGAGGATCAATTAAAAGAAAATAACAACTTTTTTTTTGTATAAAGAATTAGAATTAAAAAATATATAATATAAACAATTAGAGATTAAACAGCATAAATTCATCTTTGCCTTTTCATTTAAAATACAATTAATAATTTAAGTAGGTTAAAACGTGGGTAATAGCTGTAGCGACAAGCTCAAGAAACAGTTGTGTTGTTTTTTTTTGTTTGTTTAGATATTGTCATGTATAATTATTAATAATTCTTTCAAACAACATTAATTAATATTGTGTATTCAAATACCTTTAAACTTTTAAATGTTATTTAAACGAGTTTTTGAAGTTTTTAAAGATGAAGACGAATCTCGACTGAAAAAGAGAAAATAAGATTTTATTGATATTACTGCATTATAATATCATCGTATGTACTAATTACCCAGACGCCTTTTCTAGTGCATTCTTAAGTCTCTGCTCTGTCACCGATGGCATTAGTTTTTGTACCATTTCGCAAATGAATGCTTCACTGATACCCGGACTCGTTCTTTCAGCCAACTCGAACGCATTCTTCAACTCCTCAATAGCGTCCATCATCCTATGAGACGTGTCTGGATTTCTTCCATTGTAGTGATGCTTCTTTTGCAACTGAAATACCATATCATTAGAACGTGTTAATGTTATTGATTTCAATGATTATACGTACATCAGAAATTAACGGATATATTATGCCGGATAAGTAAGGAGTTCGAGAGGAGTGCGTTGTACTATCATTCCTGCTACTCGAATGGGAATGTTCTCTCGGCACCTTTTTCTCGCTCACTTCAGCATCTCCCCGATGGTCCAACGGACTTAAATCTTTGTTCATTTTCCTCTCTCTATCTGTTTTAGTTACTGCATCCCTGTTTATATCTTTTGCATCCCAATCGTGGTCCATGTCCTTCCTATTATCTGCAGCCTGAACAACGGATATGGGTCGGGACTGTAATAAAAAGTTATCGTTTCAATCAATGATGCCAAGGCAATAGTCATTTGATAACTTACTGGCATGCCCTTATCTTGCCTATAATTCAAGTTCGAATCTTTCGGCGGCGATTTGGAGACCGCGGGACCAGAACCATTTTGCACTTTCTGCGTCATCTTATGGTTCGGCGATGGATTGTCCTCCAGACCCATAGGTTTAAGCGCATAGTTACCTTTCACCGTCATAATCCACGGGTCGTCTACGTCATTCTCCTGTTTTGAATCCTCCCTGTTAATTAAACATTCATTAACCGAATACTGTTTTAATGATAAGAAAATAACTTACGAATCCGAATTTTCCGACTCAGTTTCGCTCTCTTCGTTCCTCGTCGCCTTCCATTTCTTACATCTATCGATTAGATCGGTTAGATAAGAGTTTTTCTTTGCTTTTCTTATAAATGAAAATTTGAGCAATTCTTTGGCTGTTGGTCTCTGATAAATGATAAATTCATATTATGTAAAACGTTAATAAACCAATATTAATCGCAACTTACATTTTGTGGATCTTTGTTCAAACAGGCTTCGACGAAATCTTTAAAGTGTTTAGTGAAGTCCCCATTAAGTTGCGGAGGATTGTTTTTGGGAATTAAAAAGAGCACTCTCATTGGATGCAATTCGGAATTGGGAGGTTCTCCTTTGGCCAGTTCTATAGCCGTAATGCCTAAGCTCCAAATATCTGCCTGTTAATAATAACATAAAAACAGCATTGTGAATAATTGATTTCTATATATAATGGTGTATATAGACATTACTTTAGAATCATATGCGGACTGTTTAATAACTTCCGGTGCCATCCAGAAGGGAGTGCCGACGAAGGTGTTGCGCTTGCTGGTGGTGTTTGTCAATTGCCCGGCTACGCCAAAATCCGCCAACTTGACGTCGCCCAATTCACTCAATAACACATTAGCAGCCTTAATATCCCTGTGCAATTTACGCTCGCTGTGTAAATAGTCTAATCCTTTAAGAACTTCCCTCAGAATAATTGCAATGTGCATCTCCTCGAAATTGCCAGCCTTCATTAAATCCAGCGCGGAACCTCCGCCCAAATATTCCATTATAATCCATAATTTTGTACCCTGAAAAAAGAGGTATATTTAAATATTCAGATTTATTAATGATTATACATTAGTGACAATAATCCTCATATGTATTGTAGACATAAAACATCGATGTCACTTTATGCAAATATATACAAATTAAGAAAATACTGAAATAAGTTATTTATTTTTTAAAAGTAATCTATATATCCCAATCAAAGAACTATTAATATATACCTTTAACTCCTATTAATATGTTATGAATACTTGATAATATTTAATATAAGTAATAAAAAAAAAATGTTTTCATATACATTTGATTACGATGTGTTTCTGTGACAAGAGTATGTATAAATTATCATTATTACTTCTTGTTACATTTGTTAACACTCATGTATGGAACGTTTCTTTAAACCTAAACACATAGAACGCGTAAATATTTGTGCTAGTCGTCTTCAAGACAGTTATTACGGCGCGTGCCGATTCGCACAATCCGCGTGTGCCACCATTCCATCGATGTTGCCCAACCAGCGTTATATAATCCACGTTTCTTCCGATGGTATTTTCTCCGTACACAAATATATCAATTCTTTGTTATTGCTAGCCTCTTTCCTAATGCAATCCGTGAATCGAATGCCTATTTCCATTCCATGATGAAGGTTTCGTTGCCCAAATCGAGAGCAATATATATATAATCTTACACACTTTCAATTTGATACTGTTATGTCATAGGAGTCGTGCGACCCGCGGACATTTTGGTATTGTTTTCAAAATTGACGACGCTCTTTATGCGGCGGCCGTTGCCGCGATTCCCACAGTCCATTCAGTTTTTAAATAATTAAATGATCATTAAGTATTTGTACATGGCAGGAGCCACACGATTAAAAAAAAGAAACAAACGGCTGAAGAATGAGGCCTCGCAGAGTATTAGAGAAAAGAGTCGGTAAAATGGTGGAAAGTGTTCTGAGAATCGCTATTGATCATTAGAAATAGAGAGTCACAACCTCCCACACACACATCCATTGCCGATTACGGCAATAATAGCATTCGACTGCTTTACGTAAGACCTTTGTGCATTGTGACATTCTAAGGAGCGGGCGGGCTTGGTTTGGTTTGTCTATATATACTGACATGTCAATCTGTGGGACAGGCAGTTCATGCACAAGCCATTTACTATTTTGCTCAATAAATAAGGCACATACACACACACAATCAATACCAATAAAGGTTATTTGCGCCAATGACCCATAGAAAATAAAACATCGGTCCAATCAAATATAATTTAACGATCAACAAATTATTTCGCTCTCCTTTCGCCAATCCTGCAAACAACAAAAATGATCTCACCTTCAAGTAGGATCCAAAGTATTTAGTGACATATGGACTGTCGCACTGCGAAAGCACCATAATTTCCTGCTGGATATCTTCGATCTCATCTTCCGCTTCCTCTAAATCTATGATTTTTATGGCAACGATCTGCTGCGTCCGTCTGTCGACACCTTTGAACACCTCACCGAAAGATCCCTTTCCGATTCTCTCCTGCTTTGTGAAAATTTCCTCAGGATCGACCTTCTACAAAATCAAACAAAATTATATATTGCACACATATAAACATTGCACGTAAACATTTTAAATTGTTAATTATGGACATTCATTACTTGCACTTTACACCGCATAAACACATTCAAGGTATGCGACGTGCGACATAAAAAAAAACATCATATTCATTAAAATACTTTAAATAATAACAGATTGCATAAATTATTGGAACGCTAGAAATAATATGAATGACATTCCTAATGTTAAACACTGCATTGTGTACTAAACGGTTTAATTGCATTTTCCTGTGTGTTCGAAGCTTTCTACAGTTTAAAAAAGATAATAAAATTTGTTAATAAAACTGGATGAAAGTTTCCTCCTTGAAATTTCTCATCAGCATTTTCCATTCCGGCAAATCATTAGAAACGAATACACCACGTGCAAGAACGGAAACAAACTTCCATTGCAATTCTTCGTTTAATGTATGTTGTTTCGCTCAATTGATATTTACCATTTACGTGCTGAACACTTTTTATATGCAACATGATAATAATATCGTGATGTCATCTCTAAAAGTCAGTGAAGGCCACCAAATATTAGTTCTATGATGACTATTGCATTGCAAATAAACTAAATGCAATTTGTATATGTTACTCGTTAGTAATGGTACGTTTTAACGACATTAATAAAATGCGCGTTATTATGAAACGTCCAACAACAAAGAAGCAACTCGAAACGATTTAAGTACATTTTAATCCCATTAACAGTGAACTTAGTACGTGCATATGGTGTTGCAACCTTCTTCTTTTTTTCTCCAATATATCGAGCATATTGTATGCCCGAGAAAATACGAAAAAATCTCACAATACACTCATTGCATTACATGCAGAAACACGTAATGCTTTTTAAGTCTTCTAAGACCAAATCTGGCGCACGTAAAGCCCTTCAAATAAAGTTCTGTTTAATTAAATTTTACGTGTCGTTGCTTCACCCGACTAAATAGAAACATAAAGTGAAGGCAAATACTAAAACCAGCCGGTGCAATAACTAAGTCTCCGAAATTCTCGTCTACTCGACAATTGCACAATATAAAAATAACTACCGAGGTATAAAATATATAACGTATAAAAAAATAACATTTATTATTGTTATTAAAATAAAATTAATCACAGATGAAAATAATCTAAATGTTATCAAAAAAATATAATTATCAAATTTTACTTTACATTGCAGGAAGTACCAATATGGTAGAAGTAATATAACATTTTGAAATGCAGCAAATGTAACGTGGTAAAAAAATAATTTAGAAATTTAATATTAATATTAAATCCTATTCGCATAACACAACTCCAATTTGCGGCCATCGGTCGTGTGGAACGAGAAAAATTAACCAGTACTACTTATTTACGTAACATCACACTGTTCGCACCATGATAATAAACAATACGTCAGTCAGTCAATTTCAATATGTATCATGTCTGAAATTATCTTATTTACTTATAATAAAAAGATTTATAAAAGTAAAGTAGTCTTTCTATTAATAAGAAATGAATCATTTCTATGAAATTGCATTTTACATAATTGGTCGAATGACTTAATCTTCTATAATTACCTTTACTATCGCTCTATATTTTGAGCTTTAGTAATAGAAACCAGGTGGAAGTTGGTCGGTTCGAAAACGCATTATGTAAGAATGTTTATTATAACCTTGGTGTGAATATTTTCAGCGGACTCGATGAATTTATTGTTTTCCAAAAATAATTGCTTGCATTGCATAACGCATATTTATGTCGAGGGTTGAAGGACCTTATACGTATGTTTTGTTTTATTCATTCAATAATCTATCCTGCGCTACTGGTCATTGCTCGGAAGATTCTCTCCTGTTCTACCGGTTAAAAACTAACCTACCAGATTATAAGAAAGCAAAAAGCAAACTAGTTTTATATATTGTCAATAGTAAAAGAAAATTAATATTTATACATAGATGAATTCTGTTATCTCTTTAGTGCAGATAATTACTATAAACGTTTATATTAAGTTAAGAGTGAAGTATATAAATTGAAATTCTTTTACTATTTTTATTGCTGCAAATTATAAGTTTTCTAAAGCATTTGTAACGTTTATTATGTAAATTAATTATTAAATATTATTATTCAATCTATGTCTATATTTTTTTAAATAAGACTATACTTAATTATGTGTCAGTCTATGTGAAAAAAAAGCATCATGAAACAATCGATCAATTTATAAAAATGATAAATTGGCAATCAATAGATTTTACACTCATTTCGAAATGAAAGTTAGCAAATTGTCTAATGTTATCTCGCTGACAAAAACACATTGTTGTAATTGCATATATAACCAATTCATGTATTTGGCCTTAACAGATAAAATAATTGACGCAATGAAAAATGTAGTCGCAATTGAACAGTCCTCTCGTTATGTTTAATAATTGACGATCGTAAAAAACATAAGGCGTATCCAATAATGTCGCTGATGAACAGCAATTGTCGAGATGTATTGGAATTCGCATCAATAAAAGTAACACGGAAGCGATGCTCTTTCCTTATTGTTTCAATTTTCCCCACTTTTCTTCGAGATGAAACCGCTCGCAATTCCCGTCGCGTAGAAAAGGATATGGGTTGATATTTACATAACAAAAAATATTTTAGATTATTATTCCAGTTATGTTTGTACAATGCCGTATCGAAGGGTTGTCACGTGACATTTGGTGAAGGGAAGAACGTAACGGACGAAGTATTCAAATCCCTTCATACGAAGATAAAGGAAGCTTTGAGACAACTCACATGCGTAGTAGTTCTTGTACTGTTTGTCCTGCCATTTATTCGGATGTTCAGTTCGTTCTGGTATTTGGGGTCTGCCCACGAAGCTGGCCTTTCTGCAGATATACTACCATTGAGAAACCGACTTCGATGACTGTTCGATGGTGAACTCGTAATCACGTTCTTCTTCGAATTATGGACGGGCCACATCTTATTCACCATTATTCAATTGAACGCGCGAGATATACAGAGTAGACGATAAGTTAAAGTGTATGATGAAAACACTAAAAAACGCGTACACACATTAGCAGGTTTCCATTAAACAAAGTAAAAAATACGCACACATGCACACACACAGGTGATAATGTTATCTGGAATTCCAAACGCGAGTTGTTATCGCATCTCGGCGGAAAAAATATATATATTTATATATATAAATTGGTCACTAGCTACGCCGTTCCTATTGTTCCATTGATTATTTTCCAATTAACCGATGACGAATGCGCAAAGAGTAATCACTTGAAAACAGCAATTCACTCAACAACGAATCGAACGAAAAACATAAACGCACAAATGTTTTAACGAAGAATATTTAAAAAAAATAAAAATAACACAAAAATGTGTAACAAAACTGGAATAGATTGTGTTATTCCCACTCAAGCAAAACAATGAAACCATTTGAACCTCCAACGCGCGGTGTTAATGTGTGTATGTGTTGCTGTCTCTTTCGAAACTTTTTTTTACTGCTATTATTGCGCTTACGAGCGAAAGAGAAGTCGAATACCTTTCACTTTAAAACGATGAACACTCTATGGTTACGTTGTCAACAATAACAAACGCTACGCGATCGAAAACCTGCGAAGGCGACATTCAATTTTCGTTTAAATCACCTAATCAAAAGTCGATTGGCGAGGAGATCCAATGATAAATCGATTCAATGTTATCATACAATGATATCAGCCCTTCGATCCACTGCAAACCTAATCGATATTTACACATATTTATAAATTAATAATCTATTAAAGTTTCCATACTTTTTTTTATTATTCTGTGTATCAATCCAGCGACTATAAAATAATTACAAGTAGACAAACTTTCATAATAGTAGAGATTCACTACACTACAAATCTACTAATTATGAATTACTTTCAATATAATAGTATTGTTCATTCTGTCATAAGGTATAATCTATTTTGTGTACTAGTTTTTTTTTCATATATTCAACCTACATTTTGCTGGATAATTAGTAAGTAGATAAACAGTTTTATTATATATTTTAACAAAACTTTACATTCTATTAGTATTTATATATATTCTATTTAAATTATTTACGTATTTCATCTAATTTTCTTCTTACTTATTGATTACGCAAATTATAAATCTTATTACATTCAGAAAACCGTTTTCTTGACATTGATGCAAAACTAAATCCTCCTTAATATAGTAACACAGATTCCAATAAGCAAGTATCAATCTCACATTATGTAATTTTCTTTTACTTCATTTATTTTTCTCGATAAGCAGAATGATTTAAATTAAAGCAAATCGAAATCAAATCTACGTTTAAATATCAAATTTGCATGCAAAAAATTCAAATGACATTCATTTATACTTGCAAGTAAAATAGCAAATGATTTCAAAATCTTTTCGCAAAAAGAATTCCATCGAGGCGCACAATAAATTCATTAATGCCAAAGTTTTCGCAACGAGAGGTAAATTATGTCGGAATGAACGCACGTATAGAGAGTACGTTTCCCAACATGTTTCAATGGACGTACGCTTTTTTCATTGCCGTAAATTTAGTAATTGCTGCCCTACGGGTTAATAAAAACGTAAATGAATCTCTTCCGCGTTTCATACGAGCGTATGAAAAAAAAACAGCAATTGACGATGTATCTAAAAGTGTACACTTGTCGGGATGTATGAAAATGAGAGCAGCACTCTACAAATTTCATACAATTTAGTTACGTAAGAAGAGTTTGGCAATGCTGTTATTTCTTGTGCCTTTTTTTTATATAAAGGACCTTGCAGATCTATTAGTATGCCTGCAATGGAGAATTCAGTGCATAACTTTGTGTAGTATAATAAATACGGTGTTTACAAAATACTACACAACATATAAAGTTCATATTTATTTATACAGTAGAATTATAGTAAATACATTTCTTTCTTTTTTTTTAAGAATAACCTTCGTCTTCTACACTTAACTCAATTATCATATTATTATAAAATACACCGATTACCATATTTTAAGATGACACTAATAACAAAATGCAAACATCATGTAAATTGTGTGCACGTATCTATTTGCATGTTGTAACAGTAAGTTCTAGAGGCTCATGACATTAAAAAATACTGAGCATTGCAGCCATATTTAGAGCATTGTGACAAATCTACAAAATGTATCTGTTTTTAAGTGAACATTTTGGTTAATTAACTTAGTGAAAGTCGAACAAATCTATTTTTTTACTAAAATATAATTTTATAGTTGTAACTACTTACTCATGGCTAGTTACAAAATGATGACATCAATGATTTTTTATTTAAAAAAACACATGAACTTCCTGAAGCAATTGGAAATTCTATTAAAAAAAAAGTGTATGTTGAAATGCTGTAGTATTTAGGAGATCCCAAAAGGTGACCTAGTGCAAGTGAGTCATACAATATATTTTTAATCGGAAACTCTGCAACACGAATTCCTACCTACTCCGTATAGCATAAGGATCCGCAATTTGCATTGAAATTCGCAGAGTGCAATCATAGCGATTCATTCTTCGGTCAATTAAAATAATTTACATTTTTTCCTTCTCCGGTAATGGCTACTACTAGCATGCGCCCAAGATTATAAACATAGAAAGCTATTTTTAAAGCGACGCATTGCTGTATCAACGTAATTCAATTAATTATCAATGGAATGAAATGCAGTAGCAGAACTAATCCAAACATCTCGAGCGGTTAGTAACAGTGCGATATTTAAAATATGCAAACGATTCGAATTTCGAAACGTATCTATTTATTTATTTGGATTTGCTCCTTCTATTTTTTTTTTTCTGAACCGAGGCGATTTCAAAATTTAAACCGGCTACCATTAAATGCTGCCCGTTTAAATATTTGATTTTCATTAGGAGCGCGGTTTCTGTGCATATAATATATGTGTGTGTGTGTGTAGGTTACAAAGAATGTCAAGGCTGTGGTGGTGGCGTGTAATGAAGAAAAGTTCACCGTCAGAGTGTAGTAGTATCATACCAATGCGGTTATATTAACTGCTTATAACTCTATGTATATTTGATTTTGTACTTGAAAATAGTAACTTTTTTGGTGGCTAAATGTAAATTAAATTACGACCGTTCGAATATCAAAGCTCCGGCTTGAAACAATGAACCTGTCTCGCATTCATCCGACAATGGGCTAAAGAATATATTTATAGGCCATCTAATCCTAACAACAAAAGAAGAGCCGCTTCGAACTTCTCCAAACGAACGGTCGCAATATGCATACCATTCTGATGGCAGTTTTTATTTCTTCATTCACAAAAATAATACTCGGAAACAAATACGAATTAGAATTCAAATACACAACGTAACAACGTTCAACATACTTAATGTATTTCACGAAAAAAAAAAGAACACCTTCCACGCATACGTGCTATATTGCATCCTAGTTTTACTCGGCCACTCCTTGTTCGAACGTTTTTATATACCACATACTTATATGGTGAAAAAACAAACACCAATGAAATTCGATGATTTTTCACGATTCCCTTTAGTAAACAGACGAGGAAGTTTCCCTCGCATTTACCAGATGATGCTTGCTTATAAAGAGCCGCGTGTACTTTCTATAAACTATTGCAAAATGTTATAACAAATCGAATAAATTTCCTCTGCGGTAAAAGCAAATTAAAATGGCAAGAACCACATTTCAAAAACGTGAAGAAAAAGCTGGAGGTTTACGAATAAGTATAGTTGCATTCTATCAGCTTCTACAGAGATCCTTGTACGCTATATGCGGAACGAAATACTTATTCCTAAATGTATTATCTAATAATGGCATCAATTAGACAACTAATTAATATTGTCTATGTTACTGACACATTGTTATATAATGGAATTAAATATATGAATAATATTTGATTTTTTTTTAACAACAAGCATTCTTTCTTGGTAAATTTAAAACTAATTAAGTTATTATAATTTATACAGGATTCGAAAATGCGAGTATAGAGAAATCTTGGTATGCTTCTATACACATCACATTCATAATTTCAAATAAAATTTCACTCGGCATTCATACCTGTTCATATTAGTAAAAGTAGCGATATATCCTTAATTTTATTATGGATTTACAGAATATATTTAACTTCTTTTTTTCTAAAATAGTTATTTTATAACCAGACATAAGTTTAAATTAACAATTTTCGAATTCACATATTACATTTCACATTATCGTTATTAATCGGATACGTTCTAATTAAATAGTCCTCTGCACTTCTATTGAAATTGATTGATCGGCCAATCGATTATTGGAACGAGAGTGCGCATTGCAACATGCTGAGGGTTCGGCAATCAAAGTACAACATAGTTATGGTTCGATGCCAACATATGAGAATGTACATACACACACAGCTGATCAGTCTATATTAAGGACAATGTTAAAATCAATATACTCGTATTTGAAACTCACAATTCGTATTAAAAGTATAATCCAGTGTTAATATAAATTGAAATTTGATTGATTCTGCAAATATTGTATACTTTATTCAATTTAAATTAACAAATAATGCATTGAAAATATCATGTTTACTGCTAATGACATCGATAGTTAATCTTGCAAGCTGAAGGCACAAATAGTATGATTTTAGAAAATTAATTAATCAACTGCAAATCGATATAGCCGAGACACGAAAGCGAGGATTTAATTAGGGAAATCTTTGAGCATAAACAATATGCCAAGAGAATTCCGGTCTGCACCATAATTAATAAACTGACGAAAACGCGGTCAAGTGTCTCCAAGACCATCCAAACAATCAGGACGATTTGCCTAATTGTCAAGATCGATGCGTCCACAAAGGTACTTGGAAAACATAATTTATGATCGAATATTATATCCTCGGACTACTCGTATAGAATTTTTAATGCGTTCGTTTTATAGAAATGTCATTCACCTGGTTATACACGCAGTGTACGTGTATATGGGGACCATGTGAACAGACAATTTTAATTGAAATCCTGGTGAGATTTTTATTTGTTCCTTTAATAAACAAACTGTACATTTAAAAAAAAAGAGAGTACAAACACAATCGCAGGACTTTAACTAACGTCCACTACATCGATTACATTTTCATAACCACGGAGCGAGTTTTCAGCAAACGCAATACAAATGTCCGGATTTTTATTTTTGTCGTTTCTTTTTCCAGCGATGGAAATATTTCTTTATGAGATATAGAATAGCGGAAGGAGCGGGAGATGCACGGTTGAATAATGAATTGCTACGGCTCCGACATCATCATTATAGTTATTATATCATTCTTTCCTCTCTTTTGCCGTGTATTTTGCCATGTGGCAAATCGCTTTGAGCGTTCGAGTGCAATCAATTCAATGGAAAAATGAATTAACACAAGCGTACATTCGTGCGAGAGAATATTGTCATTATTATTTTTAGTAATTATTTGTGACGCAGGAAAGCGAAAGGTACATGGAATATACCTGTCTCGAGGATACACAAAACGTAAAACTCGCCACTATGGTGTTATCCGCATTTTTTGGATAAGCTCAAGCGATATGAGTAAGCCATCGCTCTGAAACCTTGATTAATTTGTATTTGTGTCTGCAGATTATTTACTACCATGTATTATAATATTGTGAAGCTCTTTTTCAATTACAAGATTTAGTATAGTTATTAAATACCCATATTTGTTGTCCTATAGAGGTTAAAGTATTTGTATTTTATTTATGTTTAAGCACCTAAGTAAAAATGTTCCCGGTCGCTATAAAATCTGTAATGAAAGTCTCAAGTAATAAAAACTTTTTTTTTGTTTTATTTACGGTAACAAATTACAAGTCTTTGCATGTCCACAATATCAACGACAGTAATATAACCGGCCATATAAATCCAATACATAAATATCTTCATCTTCTATAGATAAATCATTTCAAATAAATTTAGTATATGCTCATACACACAAAAATACAATATGTTAATTGAATTAATTGCGGTTTTACAATAAAATGAATGTGTGTGTTTTAATGTTTTAATCTTATAAGAAATACTATTATTAGAAAAATAACAAACAATGCTAACACTAATTGAGAAATGCCTACAAGATAGTGTAACTTATTTACAATATTTACACAACAGAAATAACAAATAGCAGGTAAATTGTTTGCAGCAAATGAGGAATTTGAGAGAACCTAGTGAAGCAATTACAAAAGTTATAGTTGAACACCCTGTATAATGCGGGAAATATCAGCTCTTGTTATTCCTTAATTATAAAAAAAATAGTGCGAATTTGAATAATCGTTTCATTTACATTCGACTTTCTATTCGAAGAAACAAATAATAATGGTTAATATAGTAAATTTAATACGTTACATTTCGATGTTTCAAATTCAATAAGATTTCGCTGAAATTATTGTAACATTATATGGAAGAAAGGTGAGAGTATTTTCACTTTTTTTTTGCATCTTTCAAAAATTAAATAATATTTAACGTTTGAGAACATTTTGTATGAGAACATTTAAAGAAGCAGAATGAATGTTGTTGGATATTATTATACGTTTTCATAAATATTTACTTTGCACTTTATGGGGCAAACATTCAGCAAATGCATGTGGCTCTGTGTTAATTGCAAGCTAATTTTGTCTGGGGGAAAATAAAAATTATGTACGTTTCGAAATACGGGTGAGTGTCTGGCTGTAAAAACATCGAATTTCGAAAATATTTGTTACCTCATTGAAGGCCATTTCCGAAGACGGTTCGATGTCCTGTTCACCTGCGATGTCAACAAATCTGAAGAAGAATGGAGGAGCAGCAGACGAAGGGAAACTGTGTTCACTGTGAAGGCGCTACCACTTTACTCTCGGATAAATTGGCCAGGTCGTATTGGACACCTCATTTAAAATACAACGAAAATTAATTGCACTTTACTATTTGCGGCCTTGTCGTGGTGGTTGTGCTGCAGCACTGTGTTTGATGGACAAATCTCCTCTTTTCTACGTATCTATGTTCTCGGTTTCCTTCAGTACATTGCCCAGGCTTTCCTTTTCAACACCATATCAGCATCGCTCACGAATCACGCTACACCTGATTCCACTCGGGGAAAATTTATTAGACACAAATAAAAATTCAACAATCATCAGGTGGGAATAAACTGCCTGCAATCCAGAATGCTGGATAATGCTATGCCCAAGCAGGCCAATTCCGTTTCAGGTCTAAACTATGAGAGTTCCAGAATACAGTTACAAATGATAAGTGTACCAGCCCAGGAGGTTCGCGAAGATCTTCACGGAAACTTCTTATTTATACACTGACAGCCAGGCACGAACTTAAACTAACGCCATATTGCTCCGACTTACTTCGACGTTCATGTCAAATTATTATTTCCACTCCAACCGATAGATGGGAATCACAGGCATTGCCATCTACATAAAAAGCTCGCAACTGTTCGTTTAACAAAAATCTAAGAAATTATTGCTAATTATTATACAATGTAGGTGGCGCAAAGCTACTATGACGGTAAAATAGACATCATAGTTACCAAAATCAATTAATTTAAAACTATATTACATATTAATAAATAAAGTATGAAATATTTTTAATTTGTAATTTCAGTTTCCCTGAGGAATATAATGTTTCTCATAGTTACTCATTGTTGTCATATATAAAATATTATAACAATTAATCAATATTGGTTAAAACTTGCCGCAATGCAGTTATTATAGGAAAACATGCGTCCTTAAAGATATGTTAAGAGTAAATATTACTTTTTGAACACATTATTCTTATTATCATTTTTGTATTAAAAACTATTCGTAATAAATTTTAACTAACTATAATGACAATATTGAATAATATTTTGTCTATCATTTGTCCACGAAATGCATCAATTTCAAGCATTTTAAGAATATATATATTTATTTTGGAAGCAGATCACATTAAAAGAAAGTATTTCAATGTGGCCGTTATGTACTTATAACAGTAATTAGATTTTCTAATTTCTAATGAAAGTGTGTTCAATAAATACGTTAAAATCTATATAATGCCTTGTACGTGAAATTTATAATATGTTAATAAGCACATCCAAATATATTCTGAAATGCATAAGTAATGTTAAGAAGGATATAATGTAACAGTTCGTATCATTAAATCCCCACCAATAAAGATTATCGTCTACTTCTGACCTTTGATAAGAAACTTTATAGAATCTAATTAACATATAAAAGGCAAAACAGTTTGATTTAATGAAGTGCTAAAGTATAATAAGATGTTAAAAAAACGAGGAATACAAGTATTGTTTAATTGTATTAAGCGGAATCTGCATAATGATGGTTTGAAAGTAGGCATCTTGGGTATACCTTTTGATAAAGGACAGCCCAGGATCGGTGTAGGTAATGGACCAAGATTTATTCGGGATGCTGGTTTGATTAAAAGAATACAAAGTATTGGTAAGTGAATATATTAATTAAATTTTCATTTAAGTTGATAAATAATATGTACTAAATTGTACTCGTTTCTTAACGTCATTTACTTACGAAAGAAACGTTGATAACATCAATGCAAAAATAAACATATTTACAAGATAACACGTTAATAGGATTTACTAAAACAAGTACGCTATATTTGCAGATAAAAACATGGACATAAAAGATTATGGAGATGTCTCTTATACAGTCAGCAAAGATGTTTCTGAAGAGGTTGAGAATATGCGGGAATATGAGCATATGGCTTCCTGCTGTAGGGAGGTATCAAAAAACGTCGCAAAGATCATTAATGATGGTCGAATTTGCTTATCATTAGGAGGAGATCATTCAATTGGTACAACAGAATCAAACAAGAAAATTCATAATTTCACATGCAATTTAAATTTTCAGGTCTTGGAACTGTCGATGGGCATATACAGGCAAAATCTGATAATATTGCTGTTTTATGGATAGATGCTCATGCGGATTTGAATACCAACAAAACTTCCGCAACAGGAAACGTGCATGGTATGCCTATGGCACTTTTAGCAAAAGAATTATCCGATTATTGGCCATATCTTCCTGGTATGGATTGGCAAAAACCTATGATTTCTTTAAGAAACATTGCATACGTTGGATTGAGAGACGTGGATGTATATGAGCGATTAGTTATTGATAAATTGGGTATAACTGCTTTCGGTATAGAAGACATCGAAAAATATGGTATTCATAGTGTTATAAATATGGCATTGGAAAAAGTTGATCCATATCAAAACAGATCCATTCATGTTAGTTACGATATTGATTCTCTTGATGCATTAGAGGCGCCAAGTACAGGAACCGCAGGTATACAAATATTAATGTATTGGTAGTTCAGTACTTTTGTACCATAAAATATTGTTTTTAGTTCGAGGTGGTCTGACATTGCGCGAAGGCATCCATTTAATGGAAATGGTCGCAAATACTGGAAGATTAGGTGCAATAGATTTGGTGGAGGTAAATCCTAGTATAGGCAGTGCATCTGATGTGAGGAATACCGTTGATGCAGCTATACATATCATAATGGCATCACTTGGACACAAAAGACAAGGATTAAGAATTAAAAAAATTCAAGAAATGCCCTTACAAACATTCCCACCTACTCGTGACTTGATCAACTAATAATTTCAATAAACAATGTTATTAATCTATAAATTTCCAGTATTAGAAATAAAGTAATATCATTTGAGTTTTTTTTATTACTCAAATCTGAAGATTATTCATATCAGTTGTAGATATTACAAAACACAAACATATTTACTTACTTTATTATCATTAAGAAATAAAGATTTTTAAATAAAAAGTATTGCCATATTCAAACAAGTGCTGCCAACATAAAATGGTGTTAGGTAGAATATATTTCTCTGCTTAAGAATATCCTTTTTTGGTTCATAAATATAATGTGCTCATTGCAAAGTACATGAACCGTAACAACTACAAAACATACATAACAATTCAACGGTACGATGGTGGATTACAGTAGTTTGTTTCATTAAAAAATCCTATTATTTGTACAAGTTAGTGAAATGAGTCATTTTGTTGTTATGTGAAAATTACTTATATTTTTGAATGAAAACCATGCTAGTGAATTACATTACTATATTGAAATATATATAATTCTGTATATGAAGATTACCAATTAGAAGATGGCTGTTGCAACTTTTAGGTAAATTGTATTTATTTTTCACTATTAGCATTAATGGAATTTCCTGTTTGTTTTAGTCAAATTGATGAATATGGGTTTGAAAGGCCAACAACTTTTGATTATAAAACATATGAAGATTTTATGTCAAAGTACTTACGTATTCTAGCCAGAAGATCAAAGAGATGGGAGGAACTAAAAGAAAGTGAGAAAACAAGAAGAACAAATATTTTAAAAAGATTTGTGAGAAAGGGCATACCCATAACAAGAAGACCTATAGTATGGATGTCAATATCTGGTGGACAGCAAGCAAGAGAACAAAGCAACTATACATATCTGCAACTAAAAGAGAGAATCAGTAATGCATCTATAAATGAAACTATAGAGATTGATTTGCCTCGTACATTTCCTGATAATATTTATTTTACCAAAGAGAATATTTTGCCAAGACAATTATTTAATATTTTATCAACTTTTGCTCATCAAAATAATGATGTTGGATATTGTCAAGGTTTAAATTATATTGCTGGCCTATTAATATTAGCAACGAAAAGTGAGGAATACAGTTTTTGGCTTTTAAAAGTGCTTGTTGAAAATATACTGCCAAAATATTACATTAAAAGTATGTCTGGTTTATTAACAGATCTTGCTGTTCTGGATGAATTGGTTGAAATTAATGAACCAATTTTACATAGGCACATCAAAGCCATTGGTATGCCATGGGCAGTAACAACAACTAAATGGTTTATTTGTATATATTCAGAAGTTCTTCCCATTGAAACAGTTCTTAGAATTTGGGATTGCATTTTTTATGAAGGTTCTAAAATTATATTTCGTGTAGCATTAACATTAATTAAAATGCACAAAGCAGAAATTTTAGAATGCAAAGATCTTGCAGACATTGTAACCTGTTTCAAAAGTATGGCACACAATCCTAAAGTCATTGATTGCCACTATTTTATGTCAGTAAGTAGTGTGTTAAAATATGATATGCTAATTGAGATTTATTGTTTTTCTTTTTTATTCTAGAGAATTTTCAAGTTGCCTGGTAGGCTATCGAACAAACAGTTAGAAGAACTCCGGAACAAACATGCACTAGCTAAATAATCATTAGGAACAAAAATTAAACATCTAGTCTTATTTATATTATATATTTTTGCATATCACATCTACTAAAAGTTTTATTTTCTGTCCTATTGTTTCTCCATGAAATCTTTAGCTTCATTAATTTTGGAAGCTAAATATGGGGAACCTCCACGATCTGGATGATTTACTGCCATAACTTTTTTAAAAGCATCTTTCACTTTAGCTTTATTGGCAGTTGGACTAATACCTAGAAAGCAAGCTTTATTGATAAAAAAAATAATATTGATGTCAGTCATACTTTACCTAATATTAATGCTGCTTCTCTCCTGTTCATCTTAGCATCAAAACCACCCTTGTAGTACTTTGATGAAGCCATACTCTCAGCATCAAACTTTGGTAAATTCTGTATAGCTTCATTCATTGCTTTTGTTACATTTGGCATTTGTCTCATGGCATATCGACCTGCAAACCCTACAGCCGCCAATCCCAATCCAGTAAGTATTACACCTGCAGTCTAATATTTAAGGTTAGAAGATTCTTTTTATTATTATGTATTTATTTACCATTGTGTTGAGATTTGGAGGAGAAAATATTATATATTATTAATAAAAGTAATACTTCCTATTCAAATAGTGTTTAAAAAAAATTAAATTTTGACATGACCTTTAACAGCATGGAGCACTGCCAAACATGAATGTCAAAGACATTTCAATGACAATTTTTGTATAAAGAAGTTATTCTGAAATTATTTTGTTATATTATATATTTTTAATTAATGTAATTGAAATAAGTAATTATTTAATACGTATGTAAAATATAGTTGATCATTAATTAAATATAAAAAAAAATTATTCCAAAGTTCATTTCAATGATGGCTGTGAATAATTGCAATCAAATATTTAGAGTTCGTAATATTATTAAAAATGTTTATAGAAGTAATTCATCAATTTATGTGCAAGGCCAAGAACCAGAACCTAAGATTCGGGAATATTTTTATTATATCGATCATCAGGGAATGGTAATGTAAATGTTGCAAAAACAGATTATTCAATACCTTGCTCAAAAATAATCACGTTAAAAAACAGTTATTTTTAGATGATGCTCGCATGAAAAATTTTACATCATGTTTCAAGGAAAAGAAATTCTTGAGGTTCTTTTTTAACCAGCTGAGATTGAATAAGACCAAACGTTATGAGGAGTTTCCATTCATTTCAATCTGTGGCAAGGAAAGAAACTTTGTAAGATGTGATGACTTGCCATTTGTGTTTTCTCATGTTTTTGAACAAAACACTGAGAATTACTTAGCATATAATAATGCAGACAATATTCTCAACATAAAATTTGAGCCTGAAAAGATCTTTATGTTACCTGAAACTGGAAGGGTGTACCATCCGGCACCTGAGAGAGCAGGATCTGTTGGTTTAGTTAAATCAAAGTTAGCTATAGAATTTAGTAAATACTTTACATTTGATAATGGGGAAAACAATCCTCCAACTCACTTCACATTCAAAGATGTAAATTATAAGCTGAAGAATGATTGGTTTTTAAATTTAAAGAAATAGGATATAATTGGTTATGAATAGTACATATGTATAAATATCAAGCAATAAAACGATTTTATTAATAACAAATTTATTATTTTACATAAATGTCATAACAAAGTTATATATTTCATTTCATATAAAAATTAAGTATGTATATAAATACTGCCATTTTTAAGTTTTTTTTTCTTTCTTTTAATATTTACAGATTGCACAATATGCATTTAGAACATTTCGCTCATTTAATTTGTTTAGAAAATTGTCATGTATAAAGTAAAATATTTGAGTCTAAAATTGTGATTGAAATGAAACTAGGACGAATTTTTTCGCGAGTCATGAATCACTGTTGGTTTGTAAAGACGGGTTCCTTGACAAAGGCTGGAAGGATCCCTCCTTTACCCAAGAATGACCTACTGTAACAATTCTATCAGCATCGCTACCTTGTTGCAGCATATTTGTTCGAACAGAATTATGAATATTAGGTGTATATTCCTCAAATACAATGTAGTGATCATCGTCTACTGCAGGTTTATCATATAAGTGATCACGACTTGATTGGACGCAATGCTTCACTTTATCTTGAAAAGCTTCTTCATCTGATCTAAGTAAATCTAAGGCCTCATTATTAACAGCAGGTGTAGAAATAGATGTGATGTTGTATAATATCCAGTGTATGTACTTCAAAACCTGCCAGATGTGTTGATTACTCTTAGACCAAACTGGAAAGCCACCTAGTAAAATTAACTCCTTTGTCTTTTCATCAACTAGAGGATGGAACATATCACTTTGGAAGAATACTTTCTGCATTCAAATATGTTAATGTGGATCATTCAATATATATATAATAATGAATATGACTTACTGGATGTTTGCCATCTGGGAAATTCTCATCCAATTCAATATTAAATCTAAACACTCCATTTTCGTAAAGGCCACTTCTTACAAAAATAACGCCAAACCACACTACATATAAATAAATCAAATTATTAGTTAATTCTATTCACAAATCAGTAAACATACTTACACAGTGATGATTCCTTGGAGGGAATAACATAAACCCCTTCAATATTCTCACTTTGTATCATCTTACTAAAATCACACTCAGTATTTAAATCATCTGTTTTTATTATACATATAAATTAAGTACATACTATTCAGCTATAATTGAATACTCCTGTAGGAAAGTTTTATAAAACTTATTCAAATCTTCATTTTGCTTTCCAAAAATATTCTCCTTGTTATGGAGAACTTTCCGTATAGAGCCCTGCCTTTTGAAACTATCAGCAGAGTCAAGCTATAAATGAGTAATTGTATAGGATTGTTTGTTTCTTACAAATAATATACATTTTCTTATTACCTTAGAATCTCTTGATGTTTGTTGCATGGCTGTTTATTTTTTAATAATTATAACAACATATTTACATAAACATTAAATAAAAGAACATATGATTGTCACTCACAGATTAGTCAGATGAAATATTTATTTTTTAGTGTAGTAGTGATATTTACATTTTTTGTTGGCGACGCTGATTTATGTTGTATAATTACCGATAATTACTAAATTACTGTATCTAAGAAGAAGAAGAATGTTTCTGGTGACTAACGTTGGCTAACGTTGGCAAAACTTTTTTACGGTTCCTTAACCTATACCGACCTAGACTAAATATTGCTATATATCAATTTTAAGTCATTCGGTTAAAGTTGGTTAAAGTGGGACAAGTGCATGTATATGATATATATATTATGTATATCGGCAGTAAAATTATGTTTAGATATTGAGTGATTTTTAAAACCTATAACGTAGGGAGTATAACAATAATATAAGCAATATTAACAATCAACAAAATGTCGACAACATTTTTCAACCCTGAACCCAATGACGAAGATTTAGTAAGTAGTTTTAAAGTTATTTAATATGAGTGATGTTTAATATGATTATATTATAGATAAATGGTTGGTATAATAATGCCATAATGTCGCCTCAAGAAGCTAGCAATAATTTGAGAAAAATTCAAGAAGTTTTGCTAAACAAAAGCCCAAATTTGCTCCCAGAATATTTAGATAATATTTTAGGACAGTTTACCCAATCAACAAATGGAGATGTTAAAAAAGTGCTTGTTGGTTTCATAGAGGAAGCATGGTAATTATAATTTGAACTTATATTTTTATGATGTTAAAATAACATTTATTTTAGCAAATATGATGAAAATTTGATGCCCAAAGTAACACTTTCTCTTCTTATGCTATTGAACAATGAAAATGTAGCTCTACAGAAACGAGTTATCCAAAGCATAATTACTCTATATAGGAGAATGTTAATAGCCATTTGTAAAGCGAGTTGTGTTACTGAAGAAATGGAAACAGCATGGGGCCAAATGAATGAAATTAAATCAAAAATAATAAAATTTATTGACAGTGACAATGATGGGGTTAGGACAAGTGTGGTTAAATTCCTTGAGACTGTTGTATTGCTACAGTCTTACCCTGATCCTAATGAGAGTAGTAAGAACGATTTCACTTTGGAAGATGTACCATTAACATTAAAAATTGCTAGACGCAGGAAGTTAGAGGAAGAAGCAAAGTAAGTATACTTGTGAAAAATATTTAGTATACTTATAATAATATTAAATACATTTTTAGTACCATTTTTGATATCCTGATCAAATTTAATGGATCACCTCATATCAGTAGTGCAAATTTATATATTTGCATTGGATCTTTAACACACATTGGCAAAAATCGACCAGATTATATAGAGCCAGTTATTCATGCATTAGTTGAGTTAACTTCAAACTTTCCTCCAACTTTAAGTATGACGCAAGTTAGTACAGTTAAGAAAAAGTTAAAAACTGAGTTTATTAGTATAATAAAACATCCTGCAGCCCATGACTATATCGAGAAAATTTCTCCAATTCTAATAGATTTTGGTAAGTGCATTGTTGATTTAATGAATATAAATAATTATTTTACTTCTATTCAGGTTTGACTCAGAATGAAATTAATAAAATGATTCCAAAAGTGGACGAAAATCGTAAATATACTAAACGTACACTTTCTCCAGACACTCAAGAAAGAGCAACGAAAAAACCGAGATTGGATATTGCTGAAAATGATCCTGATTATGATCTTGTAGTAAAACAAAAACAAGCTCTGGAAGTAAACGAAAATTTTATTAAAGATAAACTTTCAAAGAACTTAACAGTTGAACTAGTATTAAAAGGATTGTATGATGTACCATCAAGAATGCCTTCTATTTTCAAAACAGATTATGCAGAATCTCTGAAGTTGGGACCTGCTGGTGATATTGGAATTGTGGCAAAGTTATTGTCTGAGCAGATGGTAGAAGCTGGCGTTGGACCAGGTTCAAAAATTATTGGCAAAACTATGTTGATTAAGGACAAACTGGAAAATAAAGAATCCAAAAAGAGATTGCGAGATGAAGATGATGAGGATGAAGTTAAATCAGAGAAACTCAAAAAAGGAAAACTTAAAGCGCCTCGCGTGAAGGTGTTAAAACTTAATGAAATTACTCGTCCATTAGATAAAAAAGCAAGAGAAACTCTGCTACTTGGAGCGATTAAAAGATTGCTGAAGGCTGATCACCAGAGTAATAAGGTAATAAGGCAGAAGATTATTACGACGGTAGCTGCCACATTCAATGACATAGTAAGAGAAAATGTTTTGAGTTACGTTTTGGAAGATATTAAAGGTCACTTGGATTTAGCATTGGCTTGGTTATATGAGGAATACAGCATAATGCAGGTATATATAAATTATTATAGCAATGTTTTTTATATTTTTCTAATAATAATTTTTTACAGGGATTTTCTCGTATCCCCGAACTTAGACGATCTTCGCGTATTGAACAAAGCTATAATACCTTGCTTAGTTCTTTTGTTGAAGCTGCACAGAGCGATTCATTGACCATGTCACGATTATTATTAGAATCACCAATTATCACTGATCAAGTGTTAAATCAATTGAAGCAAGTGTGCAAAGACGAAAATAATTGTGAATGGGGTATTCTATTGTTGCGTGATCTGGTATTACGAAGGCCTACTCGTCAACTAATGTTTTTAAATGCTCTTCTTGAAAATATTACTCATGAAAATATGGTAATTCGCGAATGTACGATTTCTCATGTAGTGGAATTGCACAAGTGCGTTGAAATTAGGCAAAATATCGAAGAATACGTACGGAAGTGTTTGGAATATTTGGGAACAGTTCAACCACCAGATGTATTATTCGGTTTTGCTCAAGGACGTTTAGCTGGTGCAGATGCATGGAATGACGATATTGCTAAAGCTTGCCTGGAAGGATATGTTGCATTGCTGCCATCGAATCAATCGCTGATTCACGACTTAGCTAAGATTTATGTTCAGACTGGAGCTGATACAAAGCGTGTTATATTAAGGTAAAATTATAATTTAATTTTAAAGTAATCAGTTTAATTTAATGTTTTAATTTCAGATTGTTGGAAGTGCCTATTCGTCTGATGGGAATGGATTCAGTTGAATTACTTAAATTGGTGCAAGAATGTCCAAAGGGTTCAGAAACTTTAGTTACTAGAGTTATCCATATACTCACAGATAAAGGACCGCCAACTGCGCAATTGGTTAAACGCGTTAGGGATTTATATAATACACGTGTATCAGATGTTAGATTCTTAATTCCAGTTCTTAACGGTCTAACAAAATCGGAGGTAATGTTGTTTTACAATTTATATTTATGCACCATTTCATATATAATTATTTTGTAGATTCTTGCTGCATTGCCAAAACTTATCAAATTGAATCCAGTCGTTGTTCGCGAAGTTTTCAACCGATTGTTAGGAGTACATGGTGACAGTGCTATCACGCCTACCGAACTTTTGGTAGCTTTACACATTTTAAGTACAGATCAAGTTGATATTAAAACAAAGATGAAGGCTATTACTATGTGCTTAAATGATAAACAAGTATGATTATGTTATTTCACATTTGAATGATTTAATTAACACTAATTTTTATTAGGTTTTTACTCAAGAAATTTTGGCTGTAGTCTTGCAGCAATTAATGGAGCAAACACCTTTACCTACATTATTGATGAGAACCGTTATACAAGCTCTCGGTTTATTCCCAAGACTCTCTGGATTCGTTATGAATATTCTTCAAAGATTAATTCTGAAACAAGTATGGAAGCAAAAGGTGGCTTGGGAAGGTTTTGTAAAGTGTTGCCAAAGAACGAAACCACAAAGTTTCTCAGTGTTGATGCAGCTACCTGCACCCCAACTGGCCGAAGCATTAACAATGAGTTCAGATTTAAGAGAACCTCTTAAAGAACATTTATTGAATTTCAACGATAACCAAAGGGCCCATGTTCCAGCAGCTGTACAAGAAGTTATATTAGGCCCTGAAGCTGACAGCAAACCACCGACACCGGTTTGTTGATTTTTTTTTTAAATTGTTATTTATAGAATAATTTAAAACATCTATTTTGCAGGTCTTAGCTCCTGTGGAGATCCTCAAAACTGAACCGGTAGAGCCTTTACCTCCTGGCATGGATTGACGTTAGTTTTGTTTCGTCTGTTGTATATTCTTTTTTATTAAACACATAGCTTTTGTTATTTTATGTATATATAGACTTGAAAATAAATCATAATTTTTTATTATTAATCATAGTTTAAAAAAGATGAATATTTATTTTATATATTTTTGAAACGTTTTTAAAACAAGATTGGTAGCAATGAAAATTATATTTAAGTACCGCTGTTTTGTTAATGTGATTTGAGTGGCTGGGAAAATTCATGCAAGGTATGGCTTAATTTATCTTTAAAAAATCCAAATAATTTAATTGTACAAGCAATAGTATATATAGTTAAAAAGTGTTGCATATCGGTTAATAATGTAAAATATCGTATGAGAAACAAATTAATCAAAAAGTGACATACGTTTCTCTTTTAAAATTGAAGATGGTCTCTTGATCAGTTTTCTTTCGCTGTCATCGAACTTTATTTCGACGCTGGTTACGTTGCAGAGACTTGGACTGTAGTGGCTCGGTTTAATGCTTGATCCAGACGAGATCGAACGAACGGAATCTGAGCTAACAGATGAACCGAAACTTGTTCGTATTCTAGGCAATGTTAATTTATATTCTGACATGTAACGTTGAACCACAGGAGACGTCTCTTTAAAATCATTTACAAATTCGGATAGTCTTTGAAGCACATACTTATTGGACTCTTGCATTTGTTTTATGTACAAATCTTTCTAAAATCATCATGGATATTAATTTAGTGCTCATACATGAAGATAATTTACCCAACATACATCGTATTTTTCCATATGGGATTCCTTTATACTTTTTTTACTTGTCGATATATGCCTGTCGGCCCGGTTGATTTTCATTGCCCTGTCTTCCTCATCCGAAATAATCTTGTCAAATTCTGTTTCCGTTCTGTCCAAAGTCTCTTGTTCTGATGTCTTTAAATTATTTAGTTCCTCAATACGTTTTTCAAGTTCTGAAATTAAATTTGATTTATTTGCAATAGATTAACTAATTACAATTATTACGCGATATTTCTGTTTGCTGTTCAATAAGTTGTTTCTTTCTTTCTCGTAAAACAACATAGCCATCTCTAACACGTCGCTCCAATTCTTTCATTGTTTTTATTGCTTCTTCTGCAAAAAGAAAAAAAAAACAGAATATTGTAGTTATTGGATTTTCTTTTAGATGTAACCGTCATTATCCACAGCTTGTAAACTATGTTTGTACGCGGCATTCGTCTGGTTAACAATTTTTAGAGTATTTTCCATGGCCACAATTTCCGATTCCGCTTTTCGTACTTTCTGATCCATTTCATCACCTTCTTGTTTCAATATGAACTTCTCCTGTGCATTTCTTATTTTAAATTCAGCCATTGAGAATTGTTCGCCAGGTTGATCACTGCCCAGAGAGCCCAAAGACCCAAGAACCAGCATATACATGTTCTGTAATTGCTCAATTCTGACTCTTCTCAGAGATATATCTGCTTTCAATCGACCTCGATCTTCATCCAAATTTTTTCTTTGAGCTAGCAGAATCTCTTTACTACTTTGAATTTCAATTTGTCGTTCTTTCATTAGCTAAAAGTTAATTTATTAAATCATTGTTCTTTTAAATATTGTGTTTGAATTACAGTTAGCAATTCTATTCTGTATTTTTGCAGATTGTAGATTTCATTATCCTCTCTATTCATAGCATTTTGCAGATTATCTACTTTAAGCTTTAACACATTTTCTGAAACTTGTTTACGCTGATGCCTTAACTTTGCAGCCACCGCTTGTTTGATGCCTCCTTCGTACATCAAAACGAAACTTTGAAGTTTGTCTTTCAACGATTGCAGTCTTTCGGTGTCATTTGAAATCGCTTGAATTAAACGCGTGGATTCTTTCTCCAATTTTAAAATTTGATTGTGCAGCATATGTTTTTCCTATAAGTTTGTTAAAATAAATATATCTCATGATATATGATAGAATAAATACCTCTGTATGTTCAGTGAAAGAAATTTCAAGTTCCTTCATTTTAGCTTCTAATAATTTAACATCTTCTTCCATCAATGATTCACCTTCCAAATTACCTAATTTAGCTTCCAAACAAGCCACCTTCATTTCCTAAAATGCGATAATATTTGTATAGAATATATATTATTAAATTGATATTTTTTGATTTACTAAGCTGCTTAGTTTTTGTCGTTGCTGTATCAGCAATTCGTTTTCCTTCTGTTGTCTCTTTTTTATCGCTTGTAAAGATTTCTCGCAACCAATTAGTTCAGAATGTTTAATTGTACCAATTTCCTTTAAATGGCCAAGTTGCTGTTCCAATTTGTAAAGTGCATTTTGGGCAGATTCGATTTCTATACCGATCAAATACTTATTCTTGTCTGCTTTCGAAATTATACTTTCGAAATATGTAGCACGTTGTGTCGCATCAAATGATTCATCTTTAAGAGATTCCAACTTTTGTGTCATTTCTTCTCTTTCTTGTTCAAGTACTGCAATATGTTGCTCCTTTTTATCAATATCTTGTCGTAAACCTTTAATTCTCAAATTGCTCTTTTCTAAATTGTTTGCAGTACTTTCGACGAACTTCTTCTTAGCATTCATCTTGAACAATAAAATAAAAAATAAGTTATACACGCATTTAGAAGTAATAATTATTACTATACCTCATTTTGTAATAAAGTCACTTCGTCTGTAACAATTGTTAAATCTCTTCGCAATTTGGAATTTAGTTGATTATCTTCATTAATTTGCATGTCCATAAACTTGTTATTGTTTTTTTCATTTTGTAAAAACTCATTTTCTTCATCGAGTTTTTCTTGCTGCTGCTTTATTACTTCATTCATGTTATCCATGTCCCGATTTACGCGTTTGATGTCTTGGTCTCGCTGCTTCAGATGTTTAACACTCTCTTGCCATTGTACGATCAAAGAGTTCCTCTCCTCTTTTATTTGTTTCAATATTTTACCAGTTCTCAATAATATTTGTTCATAATTTTTTACATCCACATCCATTTTTGCTAGCATAGCTTTTCTATCGCTAACTTCTACCTGCAAATTCTGGCGCTTAGCCTCCATTTCAATAGCTTTTCTTTGATCTTCCACCGAAAACTTTTTAAGATATTCATTATCCTCATCACGTTTCTTCAATGAATCTTCCCATGCTTTCATCGCCTCATTGTCCCACGTTACTTCTGATTGGATTTTCTCGAGCTTTTCCATTCCTTTAGACAAGTCTGCCATTTTCAAGCCGTGCCTTTCCTGGACGTCGGCTGTGTCTTTCATTAGTTTACGCATAAAACCCGATAATGTATCCTTTTCAGCAAGTAGTAATTTAAACTTGTGTTTTTCATTATCAACTTGTTGCGAATAAGTATTTAGTAATGTCTGTGAAAAAGTAATTAAAATTAATACTATTAATTATGTACGGACTTTAGAAATATGTATATATTTATACCTGATTTTGTTGTGATTCTTGTTGAACGTATTTCAGGTGATTTTGCAGAGAATTAAATTTCTCGTTCGCATCTTCATATTGTTTGGATGCCTTCGCTTTTCTCAACACAAGTTTCGCCAATTCACTCTCCAAAGCTTTGTTTTCATCGTTTGCCATAGGCAAATGAAACCCACTGTTCCAACCGATATGTTTTAAGACATCTTGCATAACGGTGTCCATTGCGTTCAATGTATGAAAAGAAACGGTGTAAAAGATTGTCTTGATGACAAATTTGTTTGTTCGAATTCGAAATGGCGCGTTGCTAAGTTGCGAGTTGTGCGTGCGCTTACTCCCGCGAGATTTATTTTTAGGTAGTTTCTGGCTTTAATTAAAGGCACAGTTTACATTTTAAAAATAGATATTGTTTTTACGGAATTATGTCGTTTTTACGAAGCAGCCAAGTGATTTGTGCGTGAATTTGTGCGGTGTACAACCATTTACATAATATTACTTAACAATGATGGAAATCAAACTAATATCTTGTCCGCTATGCTTAAAGCCACATTTCGATGGGGTTGATACATTAAGATTAACCTTAATCGCTGCAGCTACATCTCAGATCACCTGTCCAGTGTGCAATGAGAGTCTCATGGGATTGGATAAATTGACGATACATTTGTTCAGTCATATAACCAGTATTTCCAAAACTGTTCCTGAACCCGTGGTTGAAGCCAAAAAAGAAATTCGTTGTGACATTTGCAACTTTACATTCTCGGATGAAAATATTTTAGATATGCATCAGAAACTCTTGCATCAAACACAGGCCGATAAGAAAACTGGAATTTATAATTATCATTGTCACTTGTGCAGTAAGAAGTTTAAAATGAGGGGAAGTTTGATGGTGCATCTGAGGGTGGCGCATTATGGCTTTGGGCATAACGATAACGGATTGGAGAAATTGGAAAATTTAGTTTCCGAAGCAAAGAGTAAAAGGAGTTTAGATGGTAAAGTCGAAGAATCGAAGACAAGCGTAAAGCAATGGTCTTGCGATGTTTGCTCAAAATTATTTACAACCAAATACTTTTTAAAGAAACATAAACGATTGCACACTGGTATAAATATTAACGAAATATAAAAAGTATTATCCAGTTTTGAAATTATTTTTTTATAGGGGAAATGCCTTATTTCTGTGCTCAATGCAATAAATATTTCACTTTTCAACAGTCATATCACAAGCACATGCTCTATCATTCCTCAGAAAAGCCCCATGTTTGTGCGGAATGTGGAAGAGCATTCAAAGAATTATCAACTTTACATAATCATGAGCGAATACATTCTGGAGAAAGACCATTCGCTTGCGAAACATGTGGTAATTTATATTTAACGTACACGAATAACCTTATTTCATGTCTTTGTTGTAGGAAAATGTTTCAGGCAAAGAGTTTCTTATTTGGTTCACAAACGAATTCACACTGGCGTAATGCCATACAAATGTACAGCTTGCGAAAAGACATTTCGTTATAAAGTCAGCCAGAAATCCCATAAATGCCCAATGAATCCACCTGGATCAGTGGTGAAAACCAACGTACTCGAATCAACGGAAGTATCCAACGCAGATACAAATGGCATTATAAGTCCAAGCGTGAATACAATTGTTTTCAATTCTAATGGTGAAATAGTTGGACAAAATTTTGCTTTTGATGGAAAAAGTCTGATTACATATAATGACATTCGAGAAAACAAAGTCGTAGATTCGGAGAAACCTTTTGGAACGCAAAACAATAATGCAGATGTACTTTCAGATGCACGGAATGGTATTGCTATCTTAAATTTGTATTACTTAACTTCTTATATATGTTTCAGAATCTGCATTTCCAATTGAAGCTAATAATCAAGACTTTTTTTCGATGGTGATGTCACCTCCTTTGCCAGATGTCGAATCTCTTTGTTTATCGAATTCGCCTAAAAGTAACAAACAATCGTTGCACACAATAAACGAAGAATCCTTAAAAGAATTACTTTATGGTTTATCAAATAATGTCGAATGAAACGTTTGTATTTCACATTATATACAATAATTAATAAACTACCTTATGAAGCTTAATAAAATATTTGAAATTTAATTATATTTCTTAATTCAGATAACAATTGAATATTTTCAAATGTTTTGTCTTGGTTACATTTCTTTTTTAATCTAATCATTTAAAAAAACATTTTAATGGATAAGTTGTTATGCAAATGGAACGGTATAAAAATACATTTATCTTATCTATAATTTGAATATAATCGCATTCGATAGTTTGATAATTGCATTCAGTCAATGAGATTTATCGAAATGACATTGTTTAATATAAATATTTTGCAAACGACGGTCTGGAAAAAATACTTTAATAATTGAAAAATCAAACTATATTTGATTAGATGCTTAAAATAAAATTGTATATAGAACAAAAGTTGCAATTACATAGTATTCGCGGTTATTAATAATATTTATTGGATTCAATCGATGATTATATCATATATTAATATTATTGAAAAGATTGTTAATGACTGGAATTAAAAGCTTAGCTCTTATAAATTATTAAAGCAAAATAAATTAAATGGTAAGATCCTATAATAATATGCAGTTGCTGGCTCTAGTTTTCCTGCTCGCTCTACTTTTTATGCTACACCTGACTGCCCCTGCGATCACCTCGTCAAGACCTTTAAGCAATTTGGCAGAACATTCGTAAAAGCCTTCCGCCTTAATTGCAGCTTTCATCTTTTTCCCATCTTTTTCAGTAAGGAGTATTAAGTTAGGTACGTCCTCTTGTCGCAAATCCGATTTCGTTCCTAAAACACACAATACGTTGAATACATTCACGGAACGTAAATTGAATAATGATTACACAAAATATTTTTTTTTTCTTACCTACTAAAATGATTGGAGCATGAGGCATATGATGCCTAATTTCCGGTGCCCACTTCGTTTTCACGTTCAAATACGAGTCTTTATGAGATATTGAGTAGCATAATAAGAAACATGTTGTCTGTAACGATCGAAAATCTTATTTACTTTTAAATTAATAATTGATAATCTTACGTTTGGATATGAGAGGGGCCTTAATCGTTCGTAATCCTCTTGTCCGGCGGTATCCCATAATGTCACATTGTGTTTAATACCATCCACAGTAATATTATCCGCATAATTTTCAAAACTAAAATTCAAAATAGTTAAGCTCTTTGCGATAACGATTTAAGTATATTACTTACACTGTTGGGATGTACTTGTCATTGTACTTTTTCTTCGTGTATCCTATAAGTAAGCACGTTTTACCGACAGCACCATCACCGACTACCGTAATTTTAACAGGTTTTGACATTCTGCAAAAAAAAAACAATCAAACTTATATTTTGAGTTTTATAACTTTCCTTTGCAATTAAATATTTCATTAATGTTACTGTCACTCTTTCGTACCGCTCTTGAATTTAAATTAGCTACGTACATAAATATTGTGATTGAGTAACAGTTACACACAAATATGAGTTTATTCGAGTTAGAATAAAACGAAAAATATATTAAATTACATGTGAGATGTGTGAGAAATATGTGTGCGGTGATATGTTGTATATGGTGATAGCGCAACTAAGTTGGGCGTTTTCCATTTATGTTTCATTTTAAGCTATATAAATATTAATGCGAATACTTACGCGTTTTTTGTTTATATTCAATTTCGCGCACAATATTTAATGAGAATTTGTTTCGATGCACTGGATAATATTTACATTTTTTTTCAATGGATTTTCAAAATAATCCAAGAATAGAGTAAAGAGTAGGTATAATGTAAAATCAGTCGGAGGAAATTATTATCATGTAAACCTTATCTAATCACGGTTCGTGGCATCTAATGTGCACAATCCATATAATGTAAATCATAGTAGCTACAACGAGTGGGGAGACTACACTATTATTATTACTTTCTTTTCACAATTATGTTTTTTTTTTTTAATTTAAATTAATGTTCGAGCAAAATAAATGGTTGCATTAATCAAAAGGAATGCATGTTTAACAGAATAACTGCTAGAACAATGAACTACTGCTCGTTTCTGTTACCCACATTACTCAGTGTTGTTAATTCCATCTTACGTCATCCAGCAAAGACATTGAAGAGTGACAAATTTATTATTAATAATGCAATTACATATATACTTCTCCATCAACATGGCGCACACAAAATTAAATGTATTTATATTCATTAAAAAACATGATACATTTATACTATCGTTATTAATAATGGATCATTAAAAATATACGTGATTAGTAACACAAAATATTTTAATTTTGCATAATATACAGTGATTTATTACCTTCTATTGTCATAAACGTGCCCTATCCCAATTTTATATATTATTTTATTGCTGATTAAAAGCTTTGTCCAATAAGAATCAATATATTTAGTAATCTTTCTTTCAAATAATAATTCATACTAAAAACTGTCACATTTCTAGCATTGAAGATTGATAATGGAGAACTATGATCAAATACTACAAAGTTTGCAGGATATGGTGAGAAAAATTGAAAATAATTGTACAATACTAATTCGATATTTTCTGAACAGAGAACGTACAGTGAACAATTTGAAAATGACAAAGAAATTGCGTATTTAGAATTTTTAAAGCAACTCGACGAATATCAGCAGGTTGATAATCAAGCAATTAACATTTTCAGTGCCTACAAAGATTCGGAGAGAGAGAATAAGGAGTTGACACAAGCGAATCGTCACACTATGAAGGAAATGAAGTCTCTCGAATCTAAGTGTAAACGCTTTGAAGAGAACGGAACAAACATTATAACAAGTACAATACATAAGCTGTAAGTATTTGATATAATCCATGTACCAAGATAGTATAGCGATTTTTGTTCAAGGTCCATGATAAACAACGAAATGGATAATTATTGCAATTTGCAAGATAATCTCAGCAAAGTTCATGTAATTAATACACTTTGTTAAGGTTTTTTTTATTTTATTTAATTTAATTATTATTCTCATTTTTAAGAATCCCGACAACATTCGGAAACAGACGATATTAAATCGCGCAAAAATTGAGGAGAAAAAGAAGACTTTATCGTCTTTTGGAACTTACAAAGATGCACTTTCATTAAATAGTGAAAGCAGTATTCCCAATTTTGATAAGGTTTTGATGTTTAACGAGACTTCAAACAGAAAGAAACATTCAAACATCATACAGAATTATTATAAATTAAGGGATAAACTTAATAGTGTTGAATAATCATTTAAATAATTTGTTCATGTTTTTTTCAATGTTTCGTAGTTAATAGAGTTGTAATTGAACTTATTACTTTTTACAAATTATAAGTGTTAGATGATAACACAGAAAATTCTTATTTTTATATTTATTTTTTCCAATAAATATATATATTATGTAATTCAATTATATTCTAATGTAAGATATCTAAAAAAACAAATACATTAGTCGTTAAAACCTCTAATCTAATAAGCTGATAACCCTTTGCAATAAGAAGATCTGTATCATAATATAACTGTATACAAAACATGCTGTAGGAATAATCACCTCATTGTGCTGACTCACAATTTTAATGACATCTTCAGACAATCTAACATACATATTAATTAAGTTTAGTTTGTACTATTGAATGAAGAATTGATGTATTTGTGGCATTCATAAACATAGGGTTATTCTATTTCCGTTGACGCCCTTACGGTTTCCGAGAATGCGGGACATTGTATTCGAATTCCACATACTAATAATTGTATTCTAGAATCATTCACATCTACACATCTTCAGTCAAGTTATCAAATTAAACACAATACAAACCAAATAATTGTTTTAAATCATTTTTTTTGTCAATGGAATTGAAAGTGGAGATTTCTTGGAGAAGTATATTATTAACACTACCCAAAATGTAATCAATAATGATAGATTTTATGGTGCATATGATTTAAACTTTTAAATAAATACAAATATTATTAGGATTAATTAATATTTCTCAATTATAAATACAGGTAAACGTCGTTTATCGCCGATTCGATTTACGCCGATTCACAATAACGCCGCTGTGAAATAACGCTTATTAATTGCTGATTTTACACTTATATAGAACTAAACCCTATAGTTACCTCACTGTAAATATGGGATCATTTTACGCCGATTCGATTTGCGACGGCTTTTGTAGTAACGAAACGGAACTGTATATATAGGACACGTCAAAAGCTTTTAAACACAATATTATTTGAAAATATAACATTTTAATCATTGATTCATAAAATTATGTGTTAATTGAATTACGTAAATAAATAATGTTTCTTCGTATACAATGTAGATTTCTCCTACACAATTGCAACATATTTTCTAATCATTATTTAGATGATTTTCGAATAGATTTTTAATGTTTGTAACTCAATTTGTAATATTTGAATATTGAAAAACTTTTGTTAGTCCGTCGTAATTAATTAATAATATTAAATCATGTAATTATTATTCTCGTTCAGGTAAACTGTTTCATTCTAGTAACATATGATAAAATATGCATATGCAATATAAGAACAATTTATTTTTCGTTGTCACATTAACAAATACAGTTTTTTTTTTAGTAAAAATAAAATATGCAAAATTCTTAGTTGTTGTTTAGAAATTATATAACCCTTATATATGAAATGATTTTGATGTGAAGAGATGCAAGTTTTTCCATTTTTTTTTTCTAATCAAGAAAATGTTGAGAGTTCAAGGTTTCTTTTGCAATAAGAAGATTCCGGAGATAAACAATTTAATATTAGCGAGTTACAAATTGACGATGAGATAACATTCGGAATACAACGATATATATCGCGTTCCATATATATATATATATTACCAAATCATATTTAGATTGGTATTTTTACATTGTATATCGAAAGGCAAAGGCAGGCCAGCTCCAAACAGCTGATTGCAGTCCCAACTTGTCCGTGTGCGGTGTACGACTTGCTGAGGTGACTTGGAAAATTTAAATTTCAGTGTGGCTACGTGATCGCACATACTCCAACTATGGCTGGTGAGTATTCCTGCTTTCGTAAATAAACTGCGCGTTTTCAATAAAACCAAATTGATTGGAAAATATAAAAAAAGAAAGTGAAAGAAAAAAGACAAAGAAGAACGAAATCTGTATTTAGTTGTTGATTTTAGTTGGAAGAAGATTTTTAACCTTATCTATTCTCAGGTACAAATCCATTCAACAATCTCTTGAAAACGCTAGAAGTCAATGGAAAACAATATAAATATTTTGACCTGGCTGCATTGGGGGAACAATACAGTAAGTTTATTTCTAATACAGATTTTATTAAATATTTCGTTATAATTACTGCATTCTTTTTAATTGCACGTTAATGTCATAATTATGTAAGCAGGATCAGTTATTTATGTTATTCAAGATAATGAAAAAAAAAACCACATTGATTAATGTAAATAGAATGACTATTCAAATGCAAAACTTTCAAATCATCAGCAGTGAACAATTCAAAAGGTTATAATAATACTCATGACTTATTTATGAATTTCATTTGATAAGTAGCAATAAACATGACATTGAAGGAAATACAAACTAAGCATATTGTATTAAATGTTATTTCTTTTTAGATCGATTACCCTATTCCATAAGAGCTTTATTGGAATCAGCAGTGCGTAATTGTGATAATTTCCAAGTAACCAAAGGTGATGTTGAGAACATCTTCAACTGGGAACAGAATCAAGCAAAAGAAGATGCCATCGAAGTTGCTTTTAAGCCAGCTAGGGTTATCCTCCAGGTAGATATGAATGAATACTGTTTGTAATCAGTATTTATTTATTATGTTTTTCAATGTAGGATTTCACTGGAGTTCCTGCTGTTGTTGATTTTGCTGCCATGAGAGATGCTGTGAAATCTCTTGGTGGGGATCCAGAAAAAATCAATCCAATCTGTCCAGCTGATTTAGTTATTGATCATTCTGTTCAAGTGGATTTTGTCAGATCTTCGGATGCTTTGCAAAAGAATCAAGATCTTGAGTTTGAAAGGAATAAAGAGAGGTTTATGTTTTTGAAGGTTGAAATTTTAAATTATTTATTATTGATAGATTATATTTATTTATTTGTTTTGATTTAGTGGGGTGCTAAAGCTTTTAATAACATGTTGATTGTTCCACCTGGTAGTGGAATAGTCCATCAGGTCAATTTGGAATACTTGGCTAGGGTCGTATTTTCTGGACAAGAAGATTCAGTTTTATACCCAGACACAGTTGTATGTAGAATGTTCTGTTTGCTATTTAGAAAATTATTAATAAACGAACATTTTTTAGGTCGGAACTGATTCTCACACGACTATGATCAATGGATTAGGTGTTCTTGGTTGGGGTGTTGGTGGTATTGAAGCTGAGGCTGTTATGTTGGGACAAGCAATAAGCATGTTGCTTCCACAGGTTGTTGGATACCGTCTTCACGGAAGTTTGGGTCCATACATAACGTCCACTGATCTTGTTCTCACCATTACAAAAGTATATTCTTCATAAAATCCAAATATATGCTGAATAATGCTTACAATGATTTTACAGCATTTACGTCAATTGGGTGTTGTTGGTAAATTCGTGGAGTTTTATGGCCCTGGTGTTGCAGCTCTTTCGATAGCTGATCGTGCTACCATTGCCAATATGTGTCCGGAATATGGCGCGACTGTTGGATTTTTCCCTGTTGATAAATACTCCTTGAAGTATCTTAGGCAAACTAGTAATAACACAACATATCAAATAATACATAAATATTTATTTACATTTAAAATTTTAGATCGTCCCGAGGATCAAGTAAAGATGATTGAAGCTTATCTGCAGGCTACCGGACAGTTAAGGGATTATGAATCCGGAGAATTCGAGCCGATCTTCAGCCAATCTGTTGGATTAGATTTGTCCACTGTGGTCTCTTCAGTGAGTGGACCAAAGAGGCCTAACGATCGCGTATCGGTCTCGGAGATGAAGGATGATTTCAACAAATGCTTAAGCAATAAGGTAACAATATATGCGTAGAGTCAAGGTAACTTCAGGATGATTTTTACCCGGTGATGATTATTAAAAAGTACATAACCATGGCAAAAAACATCTTAAGTTTACCATAAGAGAGAAACAGTTTTGAAGAATGTTGATATTATTGTGGGACAAACTATACCCAGTGATGTCTAAATATGAAGCATCAACTGAGAATGGTATATCCAACCATAAAATCATATAAATAAAAATACGATATTATAATTAATCCATACAGAAGAAGTGATGATTTGAAATAACTGCAAGTAGGCAACTATGGGCTGTGATATGGTTCTTAAAATTCAAATCACACCGATAGTTCCTTAATCACAAGTATTCACTATGTTTTATACATATTTACCCTTGAAGTTGAATGGTCAAATACATTTTCCTTTGCTGAATCTAGCTTTATGATTTTAATATCACTCATATAGTTAGATCACCAAAGAAGAATAATACTAGACTGTAGTTTTCACAAATGAACCGATTGAAATGCCGGATGGAACTGATGATTACAAAATATTGTCGAGTATTTATACCTAAAATTCTACCCGTAAGGGCTTACTGCCCTTGTGGGTGGGGGAATCGGATAATGAGGGCTCCTCGTGCAATTAAAATATAATTTGCGCCAGACTAAAATATTTTGAATATTTGTAGAAGAGAAAGCAAATATTTATCGATAAAACCATTTCTTTTACTGTTGACATATTTGATAAAATGTATATTTTATTAATATTTACAAAATAATGTCCATTAATAATTCAAGTATCTACAAAAAAAAATCAAAGAGTTCATCTCCTCTGTCTTTACTACATAGAATCAAATAGTAAGTAGTAATGTAGCATTTATTGTATACGTAACAATTGTGACAAAAATTATTTCTTAATGATGTAATATTGAAAAGAAAACATTGGGAATAAGTATAGCATATTGTTTTATCAAACAACTAAGTTGATTCTTTATTATTTCATAAAATATTTCTATTGTTCAAGAAAATGAGTATTTATATATCAGTCAGTTCATGTAGAAAACAAATATTTCAATTAGAAGCCATTAGAGTCAAATAGCGAGAACTAAAGAATATTATTTGTTGTGATTTGTATTTATTATATTATTTTTATTTTGAATCATATAACGTTTTATTGGAAATAATATATAAACCTCAGTTGAAAAAGTATTCTACTTATCATTTATCTAATTTTGTTTTCAAAATTAATCTAGTTTCTCAAAACCATAATCACCTATTGTTAAATTTCTATTGGAATATTTGTGCTAGTTAAGCTAATAGCCTTGGCGCAGTTAGCAATAATTGCTTTTTAATTCTCTATAATACGTATTTCAGACAAACACTTTCTACCATCTACTAGATAGATTTGAATCTAAACAATACCTTGAAAATGAATATTATTTATCATCTTATTCTTAGAACATTTACATAAATAATTACTTATGTGAAATAATATAAATACACAAGAATTGATTGATTATAATTTACTCATCATATAATATTTTTACAACAGTTTTAAATAAGTATATAAAAGGAAATCAGAAAATACATCAAAATTAATGTAGAATCATGTCGCAATATTATGTGTTCTTTAGTAATATTTTCATTACATTTATTAGGTTGGCTTCAAAGGATTTGGATTGCCAAACAACAAATTGAATACCACAGCAAAATTCATGCACAATGGAAAACAATATTCAATTGGCCATGGCAGCGTCATAATTGCTGCAATCACTTCTTGTACAAATACGAGCAATCCTAGTGTTATGCTCGGTGCAGGTCTGCTAGCAAAGAATGCCGTCGCCGCTGGTCTTACAGTCGCACCGTACATCAAAACCAGTCTTTCGCCTGGTTCTGGGGTGGTCACCTACTATCTGAAGGAATCTGGAGTGATACCCGCTCTTGAGAAATTGGGCTTCGATATTGTAGGATATGGGTGCATGACCTGTATCGGCAATAGTGGTAGCATCGACGAAAACATCGTCAACGCAATTGAATCGAATGATTTAGTGTGCTGCGGTGTCCTCTCTGGTAATCGTAACTTCGAAGGTCGCATCCATCCGAACACGAGAGCCAATTATTTGGCCAGTCCTTTGCTTGTCCTTGCTTATGCAATTGCTGGCACCGTCGATATTGACTTTGAAGTTGAACCTCTTGGGAAGAAACCAGACGGAAGTCCAGTATTCTTGAGAGACATTTGGCCAACCAGAGCTGACATTCAAACTGTCGAACAAAAACATGTAATTCCAGCAATGTTCCAAGAAGTGTATGCTAAAATTGAGACTGGATCTGCGAGTTGGCAAAGCCTCAACGCTCCAGCTGGTCAATTGTATCCCTGGTCCAATGAATCTACTTACATCAAAAGACCACCATTCTTCGATGGTAATTCTAACTGAGTTCATCGTCGAGCAATTAATTAATCAAATTAAATTGTAGGTATGACCAAGGACTTGCCAATCAGTAAGCCAATTAACGGTGCCAAAGTATTATTGTTCTTGGGAGATTCTGTCACCACGGATCATATTAGTCCAGCAGGTTCGATTGGCAGAACTAGTCCCGCTGCCAGATTCTTAGCACAAAGAGGTTTAAGCCCTAGGGAATTTAATTCATATGGCTCTCGCAGAGGAAATGACGCAATTATGGCCAGGGGAACGTTCGCCAACATTCGTTTGGTTAACAAATTCTTGGGCAAACCTGGACCAAGGACAATGTATCTTCCCACTAACGAAGAAGTAAATAATTCTTTATTATCTTAATAATAATTATTTATTATTTATTTATTTAAATCGCAGATGGATGTATTCGATTGCGCCGAACGGTATGCTCGTGACAACACATCATTGATATTGATTTGCGGAAAAGACTATGGATCTGGATCTAGTCGAGATTGGGCCGCTAAAGGACCATATCTTCTGGTACTTACTGAATTACTTATACATATAATTTCGTTTTTAATTATTTTATTTCTATTTGTAGGGAGTTAGAGCCGTGATCGCCGAATCATTCGAACGTATCCATCGTTCCAATTTGGTGGGCATGGGTATTGTTCCATTGCAGTTCTTAGAAGGTCAAAATGCCGAAACTTTGGGATTAACTGGCAAGGAAGATTACAACATCCATTTATCCACTGATTTAAAACCTGGCCAGAACGTGCAAGTCACAACCAACACTGGAAAACAGTTTGATGTGGTTTTGCGATTTGACACTGAGGTAGATTTGTTGTATTATAAGAATGGAGGTATTTTGAATTACATGGTTAGGAAAATTGCTGCTTGAAAATGTTATTAACTGTAACTAAAGTATAGCTGTGCTGCATTTATGTTACGATGTTTTTACTAATTGTTATTACTTTTTATATACTTATCATCACATAAGCAAACAATTAATTCGGTGACTTGTATTTGTTTATTTCAATTGTTATTTTGAGATGACCGTTTTCCTTTATTGGTTTTATGAATAAATCGGTTGTGGTCCGTTTCTTTTATATCTACAAATATTGTATATTTACCTACTGGAATATTTTTTTTATACTGGATGAATAAATTTAATAAAAATATTTTTGTTTCAACATTTATTTTGTATAAATAGCGAAAAATAGGAATAAATAAATATACAGTTGTAGATTTCATGCATCGTATGTTGTAGCAGACACGTTTCCTCCGTGTCCTGTCCAATTGGTGTGAACGAATTTGCCTTCTTGGCCTAAAATTTCGTAAGTGTGGGCACCGAAGTAATCCCTCTGGGCTTGCAACAAATTGGCAGGCAATCTGTCGCAACGGTAGCCATCATAAAATGATAATGCGCTGTTCAAAGCTGGTGTGGGGACACCTGTAAGTAATATTGATATAATCTCTATGTTCCAATGCACTCATTTATATAATTACCTAAATTAACAGCGCTACAAATTACGTTACGCCAACCAGACTGAGCCTTGCCAATAGCATCCAAAAAGAAGGGAGCCAACAAAAGCGATTTTAGATTTGAATCTTTATCAAACGCAGCTTTGATCTGCCCGAGGAAGACCGATCTGATGATGCAACCGCCTCTCCACATCAATGCAATTGAACCGTAATCCAATTTCCAGTTGTACTGTGCAGCAGCTTCGCGCAGTAACATGAAACCTTGAGCATACGATACAATCTTGCTAGCGTACAAGGCTTGTCGTAAATCTTCTAAAAATTTCTTCTTGTCACCAGAGAACACCGGTTTCGGTCCTGGCAACTGCTTGCTCGCAACGACGCGCTCTTCTTTTAGCGCAGAAAGACATCTGCTGAATACTGCCTCGCCAATTAGCGTAACAGGAACACCGTAATTCAAAGCAGAAATCGCCGTCCATTTTCCGGTTCCCTTTTGACCTGCAGCATCTCTGATTTTCGGCAATAAGTACTTTCCATCGTTATCTTTGTACTTCAATATATCCTTAGTGATATCAATCAAGAAACTATCTAGTTCGCCTTTATTCCAATCGGCAAAGGTCTGTGCCATCTCCTCCTGATCGATTCCAATAGCCAACATCATGTGGTAGATTTCGCAGATCAACTGCATATCACCATACTCAATTCCATTGTGGACCATTTTAACAAAGTGACCAGCACCATCAGATCCAACCCAATCGCAACAGGGCTGATCATCGGCTTTAGCGCAAATACTCTGGAAAATTGGTTTAATATGTTCCCACGCAGCTTCATCGCCTCCGGGCATGAGGGACGGTCCATACCTTGCACCTTCTTCGCCTCCGGACACGCCCGACCCAACGAACATAATTCCTTTGTTCGCCAATTCCTTACATCTCCTTTGCGTATCAACGTACTCTGAATTGCCGCCATCGATGATAATATCGTTTTTCTCCAGATGAGGAAGCAGTTGCTCAATGAAGCTGTCGACCGCGCTTCCTGCCTTCACCAACATCATGACACGCCTCGGCGTTTTCAATTTCGATACTAGTTCTTTAATTGATTCGGCGCCAACTACATTACTGTTGCCTTTGGCTTCGTTGGCTAAAAAAGCATGTACCTTTTCCACCGAACGATTATAAGCCACAACAGTAAATCCATGATCGGCCATATTAAGGATAAGATTTTGGCCCATTACAGCCAATCCTATCAGGGCGATATCTCCAACTCTATGTAACAAGAAAAAATATAATATGTAATACAAATAATTAAACTTTGCAAACAAAGTTCACAGAATTTAAAGATTATAAGATCTTTTCTAGAAAATCTTTCAATTTAGTTGAATCATTTCTTAATTAAATCAACTTTAATTTTGTTTGAATTGCATTGACAATTCAAAATTGCAAGAATAAATTTATATTCGTTTTGCTAACCATTATATGATTCATACTGATACGTTGCAAAATCGTTGATCACGATTGTTGCGATAAAATCGTTATTCTTGTAGATAATTAACCTAAATAACAATAATTTTATGCAATAAATTATGAACTAGATCAATGTCCTACTTTTAGATCAAGGTGAAAGGATTAATTGTCCTTTCTTTTGATACACCATCTTAACCGTTAAATTGGAACAAAAATAATAATTACTTGAAAGTGAATGAAAGTAATTATTTTTGGGCCATTTTGACGGTTAACATCAGTAATATATTTCGTTATATTAAATAATAATAAATATTAAGTTAAATATTGTCAATGTAAATATTTAAAAATCAGACTGATAACAAACATTTTCATACATTGTTAAATGTAAAAGGAATATGTTTGGTTAGAATAGGGTAAAATTTATAAAATATTTTAGTTCTTTAAAATGCAACCAATTTTCAAAATCAATTTATGATTTGTATACAACTATACAATCACTATTTAATATAATTTATTAACAATCTCCAAATTGTGTGCTCTATTAGATATCAATGTATCATCAAAATATAATTATATTAGATATACCTTTCAGACATGATGAAGATACTCGGTCTTGGGGATTGTAATAACCAAGCAACACGAAGACTGGATTAAGACTGAATTGATTCAATGGATGAACGTAATTTGGTAAAGCAACTAAACTCGGTCGAGAAAGTCACATTGACTTGGAAGGTCATTGATAGTAATAGTAGTACCATTATTATACAATGCGCTGAGCGAATGATAATCACGCAAAATAAGATTATCAATAAGAGAGAAATATATGGTGAGGAATATGATGGTTTGGATTAGAAAAAAACGAATATATGCTTAGTTTAAATAAAATACCTTCATTTTTAAAAGCAAATTATAGAGAAACATTTCTTTCAATCGTAAAATAACCCTCTTAAATACAATGTATGCATCTGCAAGCATGAAATTAACATTAACAGTAAATATCACATCATATCATTTACGTTTCGTAAATTATTTTCTACTCCAGCACACACAAAAATGCCTTAAAATTATAAGATCATGCCTGCGTCACATATTTACAAAAATACATATATGTATAGAATTTAATCGATCTTAAAATGTAAATGAAATCTTATAGAAATAAACTTTAATTATAAATAAGTAAAATAAACAAATACAAAATATATCCCATATACTTATTATTTTGTTTATTACATTAATAAAACGTCATTATTTAAACAAACGAATTATATTTTTTTTAAAATAATAACATTTTATTTGAAATCAATTTTGAACATAATTTTAAAGCTCTATTATATATTGATTACTTATAATAATGTCTAAATGGACAATAATATATAAAAATCTAAATAAAAAGATCAATTCTTTTATGTACGGTAGTTCATTATAGCTGAACAATTGGATTATTGCGTTGATTCTGCACAATTCAAATGTAAATTTTCAAATAATAAAGTTTAACAGGTTTATAACATAAATATAAAAATAAAATCATTATAAACTAGATCCTAAAATTCATTTTGAATAAATTATACCTAAAATAAATAAACATCATACATTACCTGCCTTTTTTTTATAAAAAAAGACCCAACACTACTTATATTAAGTTCGCCTTTTGGCTTTCAGCTGAGTCCGTTGTTTCGTCGACGATCCACTTCCAATACTAAACATGGCACCGCCAGGAGAAGGTGCATTATATTGCGGGGCGCCTCCGTTAAAACCCTGGAAGTTTGGGGTTGGACTACCGAAATTCGGAGCTGCATTATTTCCAAAGCTTGTTGTAGCTGAGCCAGCAGAAAAATTAAACGACCCTGGCTTTGGTGCTTCAGTATTACCAAATGAAAAGACTCCTGCTTTAGGAGGGGCAGCTACACCAAATGCAAATGCATTTGTTTGGGACGCGGCAGGTGCATTATTGTTTGCACCAAACGCAAAATTTGTTGTCGAATTGTTATTGAAAGCAGAAGTTTGAGGTTTCGCAGCATCTCCACTACCTCCAAATCCCGTTGAAGCATTGAAATTATTAGAACCGAAACCATTACCGCTTCCAAATGCTGGTGCGGCAGAGCTGCCAAAAGTGCTATTAGCAGCGGGAAAACTGGGCGGAGCCGTCCCAAATGCTGGAGTTGCATTGGTCGTTCCAAATGTAGGTGTATTTGTTGAACCAAACGTGTTGACTGTAGTTTTAGGTGCAGTAAATCCTCCTGTTGTAGTAGTGGCTCCAAATGCAGCCGTTGCATTTCCAAATGATGAAGTAGATGCAGTGCCAAAACTAGACTGGGTAGTAGTAGGGTTTCCGAAAGATGTTGAATTATTTGTAAAACCGGATGCTGGTACTGCATTTTTTGAAGCGTTGAAATTGAACGTATTGCCACTTGCCACTGCCGAACTTGGTTTTCCAAAAGTATTTGCATTGTTATTTGCGGAATTGTTTCCGCCGCCAAAAGCAAACATTGGTGGTGCCGCTGTATTTTGTGAACCACCAAATGTGGAAGCTGTTGTTGCAGGTGTGGGAGCTCCAAATGTTTTCTTATCACCAAATGCAAAGGTTGCTGACTGGGTTGTGGATGGATTAGAAAAACCAGAATTGGTACCAAATGAATTACCAAAAGCTGGTTTTGTTGCTCCAAAAGTATTTGTACTATTTGTACCAAAAGACGGAGTTGTTGTCGTTGCGCCAAAACTGAATGTAGAGGTAGTTGCAGCAGCAGTTGTCTTTCCACCAAAACCGAAAACAGATGCAGAACTTACTGGTGCGCCAAAAGTTGAAGTGGTTGACGTATTTACTCCGAAACCACTTTGTGTTATGGTGGATGTGTTTCCGAAACCTGCTGAACTTCCAGTGGGTGATAAAAAAGAAGGAATTGTTGAGCCAAACGTTGTGGCAACGGTAACTGCTCCAAAATTCGTATTTACAGATGAACCGAATGTAGGAGTTGAAGTAGGTACAGCAAACGCGGCCGTAGGTGTCATTGTTGGTACACCAAAACCGACCGTTGATACTGCGGTCGTAACACCAAATCCAATGGTAGGTGTTGAGGTCGTTACTCCAAAACCAACAGCTGGTGTTGTGGTAGTTACTCCAAAAGCAACAGCAGGTGTTGTGGTAGTTACTCCAAAACCAACAGCAGGTGTTGTGGTAGTTACTCCAAAACCAACAGCAGGTTTTGTGGTCGTTACACCGAAACCGGCTACAGATGGTGTTGTGGTCGTTATACCGAAACCGGCTACAGTTGGTGTCGTTGTCGATACACCAAAACCTGTTGTAGATGTTGTACCAAAACTAGAGACAGGATTTGTTGCAAAACTATTTGTTGGCTGACCGAATGTGCCACTTGCATTCGATTTTCCAAATGGACCAGTGCTTCCAAATGTCGTTGAAGGTACTGCAAATGTTGCAGCCGTTTTCTGTGCTGTTGTTACTATATTTTGTGCACCAAATGTTGATACTGATGTAGATCCTAAAATGGAACCTGTTGTTCCAAAACTTGATGTGCTTGTAGTTGATCCTGTTCCAAAAGTTGGAGTCGTCGTAGCAGCGCCAAAGGTTATATTTGTTCCTTGTTTTCCAAATGTATCAAAACCAATCGACGGTACTATTGAAGTACTTGTATTACCAGTAGATGTAACGAAAGTAGTTGGTGCGGTGCTAGAGTTAACAAATGGATTGGCAGATGACGCTTGAAGACTATTGGGCGAAGTTCCAAAGGAAAATCCACCTTTTGTAACATTAGAACTTTGAGTTGCATTGAACATCGATGCTTTAGTCGTAGCAGGTGAATTAATATTAGTTGTAGATTTTGTTCCTAATTTGGGGGCTTGTGTAACTGCGTTGAACACTGTAAACTTATTTTTCTCATCTGTGGAACTTGCGGTTTCACTACTTCCAAATAACGGTTTCACAATTGTGTCTGACTTACTCACAGTCGTAGTAGTATTTAAAGTAGCAACATTCAGAGGTTCAGCAGAATCCGTTTTAGTGCTATTTAACGATTCAATAGCTGAGTTGCGTACTGATGTACCAGTTCCATTTGACGATGACATAAATGATAATTTTGGTACCTCCGAACCAATTACTTTCAAAACAGAATTTTCAGATATATTGGGTTTCGATGTTAAATCAAATTTAAATCCTCCACCGCCGCTAGTAGATGTAACAGAACTTGTTAATAGTTTACTAGTATTAGACGTTGAACCCAAATTTGATATTGTCGCAGTACTATTATTACTTGTATCAATTTTTGTACCAGAAAGAGGCATTGTAAAATTGTTTATTTTAACTTCACTGTCTTCTTTAGACTTTGACGAGTCATCGTCAGTAGCAGCAAATAATGCTGTGGAATTAGCTCCAAAATGAACATGCTTGTCATGTTTAGATTTATTTTTTGGCGATAGAATCGAAACTAATTCCTCATCTTTATCTGCACCGTTTTCTTCATTATCGAATGATATTAATTGAGGTTTCTCGCCAGTTATTGCTCCCAAAATAGTTGCAAGTTTGTTCTTCTTGTGTATCTCCAATGGTGCCTCATCAAATACTTGTAATACTACACTTATATCTGTTTCATCTTTATCTTTGAGAGTTCTCTCTTTATCCAAATCAGCTTTCTTGCTTTTATCTTCTAATATATTTTCCTCATGTTGCAATTTTTCTTTAGTATTATCAACCAAAGGCAAAGTTTGAGTCTCAGCATTGGATAATTTGATTTGTTTTTGATTGTTTTCCAGGATAATATCTTCAGTTTCTGCAAAATATTTTCGTATATTAGATATATTACTTTTCAATTGTTATAAATTATGAAATACCTTTCGATTTTCGTTTTGTTCCTTTTTCTACAAACATTTGATATGAAGTACTTGAAGCATAAACTGGATCAACAATGCACATTCTTTTAGTACTTTGCATTGAACTTGGACTAGTTACTTCTGAATGTGTTGGAGAGTCTTCACGATTTCTTTTGCTATATTCATTTAAATTATATTCCTGACGTTTCGATCTTTTCAACGATTCTGATTCTACATCAAATTCCTAAAACAATATTAATTGATGTATTTTTTTTTTTGAATCTTCTAAATATACTTACATCAGTAACATGAATTCTTTTTCTAGAAATTTCCTTCAAAGCATCTAGAACACTTTTAGTATTTATATCAGATTCTTCAGGTTTTGGACTTGAATATGATTCATCATATAAGATACTACTATTTCCATTGTAATAAAATGAATCTAAAAATTAAATACATGTTTTATAATCAAATGAAGCAGATGTTTTAATGAAATTACCTGGTGTTGCAATTTTCATTGTAACTTTACTTTGTTTGGGTGTAATTACAGGCAAACCTTTTTTAAAAAAATGAACTACTGGGAACAATCCAGGGCTTCCATATTTTGATTGATGGGTTGGTGCTGGTAATTCTGGTGTTTGCTCATTATTGTATTGAACAATACGAGTAGCTAGACCTGGACTCTTAACATCAGTGTATGTTCTAAAAGAAATCAAATGTTAATTATATTGCAAAATTTGTCTTCAATAATATCTATTACCCTAAATTTACATTGAACTGTGTAGAAGCAAGTAGAGGTCCATTTCTTTTCGTATTATCATTTTGAAATTTTGGTGTAACTGTTTGGGACAAAGAGTAGCTGAAAATAAGAAATATGTCTATATAAACTAAGATTTTCCTCATTAGTTTAAAACTTACCGTGGTGAACTTTTGGTTATTGAATGTCTTGTTGATGATAAAAATGAGACATCTTTCTTAGGAGTAACAAATGTATTTACAGATCGCTTAGATTTCCCATTTATTGGAGAAAATATAGGAGGAGTTTCAGGAAATTGTGAGTTCTGCATTGTCTAAAATTATAATAAACTTAGTTGATGTAAAAAAGTACCTATCAACATAACCTTAAAAATAGGTTAGAATTGAAGGTTACCTATGTGTAAGATGTTTCGTTTCTATAATTTAACCTAAATGATTAAGATTAAAACTTTATACGGTGTAAATGAAAAGTAACGCACTTTGTAATTGAACTGTTATCACATACAACAAAATCATGCGGTAATAACTTTACAAATTTTTAAAAAATCTCAACTCCACTGGTCAGTTACACTGGTATTCACACGAGTTTCACTAGAATATACACTAATAGACCACTAATTTTTACGTATCTATATGGCATTGCAAAGCATTTATTTGATTGGCGCCGCCGCGTCGCCTTGGCCGTTCAATTTTAAAATATACTATACATAACCTCAACTAGGAGGCAATTCCAAATCAGCCAACATTAAAGAATCTAATTTCGTTAAAAAATATTACTCAAATATTTACTATAAATAATACCTGAATTAAACTTATTATAATTAGACAAATAGGTTTATGCTTTTTTACATTTTTATGTTCATCATTTTCCTGTATTTCCCAGTATCTCATATATTGTTGGTTGGTGCAACTGTAGAAGCACTGAACAAGTGTCAGAAACAGCCAGAAAGAAAATAGGGTGTCAATGGTTGTTGTTGATGTGTCGAATAAATTAAAACATGTTTATAGATTCAATAATATATTGGATTGTAGTGACCACGTTCAACATTTGTTTAGATATATAGTATTATTAGTTATATAAATATACAAGGAACCGAACAGCGATGGACGTTACAATAGAGAGTGGTGGCAGAAAAAGTGCTTTGGAGGATTTATCAAAGGAAGATTTGATTAAGAAATGCCGTAATTTATTAGCTATAGCTCAAAAAGCGAAACAAGCTAAGGATGTCGTTTCAGAGGAAAACGTTAAATTAAAAGAACAGATTAAAAATACCATTGGAGATGAGATAATTGAAAATTTAACACAGCAAAAGCTTGCTTTTGTCACAAGTATGGATGAATTGAAGCAGCAAAATAACACATTGAAATCTAGTTTAGAACAGCAAGAACATAAATTATTGGAAACAGAAAGTAAAGTCTCTGACTTGGATACAGAGAATCAAAGCTTTAGAAGGCAAGTAACTCGTTTAACAGATGAAAATGAGCAATTAATAACACATTTGGATGGACTGGAGAAACAAATAGATGAACTGGAAAAAATGAAAGTAGAATTAGAAGTAAAGCTGCAGATTCCACAGAAGGAGCAAAATAATTCGAATAATGAGAAAATCATTGAATTACAGAATATGCTAAGTGTCAGTTTAAATGAGGTAATGTCTATTAAAAGATTTCAACTGAATTTTAATTATTTTTTTCTTCTTAGGTTCAAAAATTGAAGGACGAAAATGAGCAGTTAATAAACAATGTAAGCAGTCTCAATGTAAATATAACTGAACAAGAAGTATTAATAACAAACCTAAATGAACAACTGAAAGGAGTTTCTTCAGAAAACACCAATGTCAATAAAATAGAGGTAGATCAACTGCAAAATGAAATAGAAAGTTTCAAAAATAAAGTTTATGAATCTGCTGAGTCTATACAAGTGTATCAACAGCAAATAGATATTAAAAATAAGGAAATAGAATGTCATTCAAATTTAGTAGATGATTTAAATACTGAAATTCATAAAAATCGAGCTTTAAATGAAAAACTGCAACAAGATGTAAAATGCATGTCTCAGAGGTTGAATGATAATCAGATTGTCTCAAGTGGTATAGCAACAGATTTACAGAACACAAATGAGAAACTGAAAGGCAAATTGAAGATGTACCATGCAAAAATGATTAAGTTTGCTATTGATATAAAGCATTTAAAAGAAAGTAAGGAGTACATTCTTAATAATTTTAAAAGTTATAACCAACAAGTTAAATCATGGAGGGAGCAACTTATTGTAGCCACGAAGAAATTGTCCAAAGAAATTAACGAAAATGACATTGAGAAATCAAAATTGAATGAATACATTGTCCAATTGAAGGAAGAGCTTTCAATGAAGGAAAACCCTGAATTAAAATTCCAGTTTGATGATGTTCAATGCAGATTAGAAAATCTGCAAGTAGAACATGAGAATGCAATTAAAGAAATTAAGGCTTCAAAAGATGAAGAAATAGCACATCTTGAGAAGAAATTATCTGATGCAGAACAAACATATGCAAATATCTCAGATGAAATGAAAACAAATAAAGAAAAATTAAATACAGCTACAAAGCAGCTCCATGAGGATAATGTAATAAAAAATGAGTTAATTGAGAAAGTTAAATCCAATGAGAAGTTAATTGAGGATAATAATAAATTAATATCAGAATTAAGAAAAGCCATTGAACATCTTGAAAATCAAGTTGATTTATCTAAATCAACAGAATCCAAATTAGCGGAGCAAACTGGTAATGAAATATATAAATTATCGCAGGAGAATAAAAAATTATTTGAGAAGAATGAACATCTGGAAGCAAAACTTCATGAACTCCAAGAAAATAGTGAAGAATTGGAGAAAATCAATAGCATAAAACGTGAAAATGCTGAACTATTGACAGAAATGAATGAAATGAACCAAGCACTGAAAGAAAGAGGAGAAACTATTAGCAAACAGCAAGCTTATTGTGATGAAATTTTGAAAAAGATTTCTGTTTATGAAGTCCAAGCTAACAAAAACTTTGTAGTCATTTCAGAAAATAATGATACAATTGAATCGTTGAAAAAAGAAAACGTTGAACTCAAGACTTCTTGTGCAGATTTAAGGTCTGAAGTGGCAAGTATCAAAGACAAACTTAGTGAAAATGCAGAATGCGACACATTATCCACATCAACGATTTCACATTCAGAGGAAGTAAATCGATTGAAAGATCTGGATGGGTCATGGGAACAAAGATATGGTAAATTAAGAGCACTTGCTCTTAACTTGAAGGCTAAGGTGACAGAACTTACCAAGGAATTAAATAGGGAACAGACAGAAAAATCTGAGATTCAACAAAAGTTAGGAATCAATATTAAATCTATACAATCAATACAAGCACAATGCGATATAATTCAAGATGAATTGGATGCATCTAAGACTGACAATAAGAACTTGTTAAAGAAAATTGAAAGTTTCACAAAAGATAGGCAACAGCTATTGGACAAAGAAGAAATAGTAATGAAATTGAAGCTAGAGAATGAAAATTTAATTAAAGAGAAGGGCAATGTAAATAATTGGAAAAAGCAAGTAAGTTTGAAAGTTCAAACTTTAAAAAAGGAGATTGAGGCAAATAGTATTGCCAAAAAAGATTTTGAAGGAAGAATACATAAGCTGACAGTAGAATTGGAATCTAGGGATCGCGCGCTTAAAGACGAAAGAGAGAGTCATTCAAAAACAAAAAATTCTCTTCAGGAATCTAATAATGAGTGTAAGAAACAATCTGTTTTAAATTTGGAAATTCAAGATTTTGAGAAAACTATTAAAGAATTAACACAGAAACTTGAAAAGAAGAATGAATTGATTACAAAACTAAAGAATCAGAATGATTCTCAAAAGTCTAGTGTGAATGCTTTGAAGGATCAAACCAGATTGTTTGAAGATAAAGCAAATGCTTTAGAAATGGAATTAAGTGCATGCCATATTGAGGTAAATACATTTAAAAAGAATATAATTGATTTAGAATCTTTACTAAGTGAAAAAGACTTCAAAATTCAAGAAGTTGTCAAAACTTTGGAAATTAGTCGTGGCGAAAATGAAGATTTAAGTACTCAATTATCGAAAATTATTGCTGAACATCAGAAAAATGTATCTTCATTGAAAGAAGAAAAGGATTTATTGAGAGGGAAAAACTTAGGGTTTGAACAGAGGTTGATGGAATTAGAGAATAAGTTAGAATTACGCGAAGATGAATTAACCAATATTGAAAATGAATATAAAGGATATAAAGTAAGGGCACAAAGTGTTTTAAGGCAAAATCAATCTAGGGATGTTGGTCTAGAAGAAAAACTATCTGAAGAAGCAGCAACTTTAAGAGCTCAAGTAGACATATTCAAAGCTGAAATTGATATGTTAAGGTACGTATTAAAATATAGATGCAATAAAGAATACTAATTTCTATTTTTGTAGAACAACCCAAGAAAAATTAACCAACGAATTGAATAAAGTATCCAAAGAAAACGAAAATTACGAAAGTTATAAAATCGAGCTGTTAACTCAATTAGAGGATGGCAAAAAGGAATATGAAAAGCTCAATACAAAATATTATCAAACGATGACAGATCACAGCGAAGCAGTCAGAAGTTTAAAGGTAAACTGATTTAAAAAGTCTTTATTATTGATTGATTGAACAATTCCATTCCAGTTAAATGCTGAAACACTTGCACAGTGTTATCGTCAACAAATATCAGAACAAGAGGTAAGACATAATCGCGAGATCATTGAATTGCAAAGCAAGTTGGAAAAAAGCAATATTCCACTTGATATTCCAACCCTCCTCATTCCTAGTACTCCCAGAGAAGAAGGTGAAGGTTCAGAAAGTGTGGACAGTACAAATGGTAATATTCATCCATTAGAAAAATTGTTAGGTGGTGATCAAGAGCATGAAATTAGTTTCATTAAGAAACAATTAAATGAGAACGAGTCAAAAGTCACGCACCTGACTGCTCTGCTGGCAGACACAGAGCAAGATCTTGCTAAACACGTGCAAATGAATAAGGTTCTTAAAGAAGAAATTCGCCGTCAGCAAAGATCAGTGGAACGTGAAAAACATGCTGAGAACTTGGAGTATATGAAAAATGTTGTATTTAAGGTATTCTTATAATTAACAATATTTTCCAGTTTCTAATATACGTTGTTTCAGTTCATTACTCTCAGCAATGGTGATGAAAGGCAACGATTAGTTCCTGTATTAAATACTATTCTAAAATTAAGCCCAGATGAAACCCAAAAACTTAATATGGTTGCAAGGAACGACAAAAGTTGGTCCAATTATCTACCAATTTGGTCGAAACCTCAATAATACTGGATTTACTACTTGGACATTTATTGTATTTATTATGTACATAATTGTTTATTTAAATATATTTCTTAGTTATATTGTTTATAATTGTTTTATTTTCATAAATGAATTGCAATATAACAATCATTCGTTGAATTTTTAATTATATTAAAAGCAACAAAAATATATACTCATTGTATTTTCTATTGCTGCAATGATTTCTTGGACGCTTTCAGGATAATTAAATTTGAACTAGCCGCGCAAACAGCAACTTCCTCTCGCCAATAAAATCGCGAATTCCGATTGGTCGCTATTTTTTGTCATCTTCCCCTATTCTAAATAAACATTGAATTACTAGCAATTTAATCGGCGAATCGTTCTGAAATTTTGCATGCAAATAAATTAGGTTTTAATACATCGGAATTCATCAAGACATTATTGTAAATAGCTTTTGTTTATGAGAATAAACTGAATCAATAGTTTGTCCCCACCATACCGATGCACTCCTGGCGTTTCCGTTAGGCTGCGCATCAGTTGCAAGTTTCGCTTTTCTCGCCCTCTTCCAGTGCTTTTCAAGGTAAGTGGAGCTTTAGCTGCTTTTCCTGCAAATACTATACGTTATCAGTTTTTATCAGTACCATCCGAACTCAATGAATACGGAAATCTATCTCAATTGAAAACGGTATTAACTGACAATCAAGCTTTTCGTTGTATTTCGCGTAATTAAATACTTCGCGCTTACAATTCGCCATTACCATAATTTTGGTAGACCAACCGGTACTTACGCTTACCGATTGTTTTTCAAACTATTTTCAATTAATTGTTATTTAAAAACTGTTCCATTTACGCCCTTAAATTGTTTGAATATTTAAACCTTCAAAACTTTGCTATTCATGAAAATGTAATTGATAAAATATTTAAATATATTTTAAGGTCGTATAATTTATATACGTAGTATTTTCTGTTTTTAGTATATTTCCAATTGTACTTAACTTATAAATAATTGACCTAGGTTTGTGTTACTGCGAAATTTTTAAAAATGAAATCATTCGCAATATACTGTTTGAAAATTTTAAAAGTTGGGCGTGACTTCTTTTTACTATTCTCTATATAGAAATCTTGTGAACATCGGGAAATTCAAGATTGGTATTTTCGAATCACGGGAGCTGTGATCAACCTATATTATATTGATTTCTTCCAATTGCGCCACAAAATGGCCGGCATATAACTTTAATATAATCTTAATATGTATTTCAATACTACGACAATCATTAAAAGTCTCAGTCATATAAACAACATATTTTTAATCGGTATTGTATGTCAACCAAGTGACGTTACTCTAATATTTATTTCTTATTGCAGTAAATTTACTAAAAAGCAAAATGGGTAAAGAGAAGATTCATATTAACATCGTTGTCATTGGTCATGTGGACTCTGGCAAGTCTACGTCCACTGGACATTTGATCTATAAATGCGGTGGCATTGATAAACGTACGATTGAGAAATTTGAAAAGGAAGCTCAGGAAATGGGTAAAGGTTCCTTTAAATATGCCTGGGTACTCGATAAGTTGAAAGCAGAACGTGAGCGCGGTATTACTATTGATATTGCTTTGTGGAAATTTGAGACTGCAAAGTACTACGTGACTATTATTGATGCTCCCGGTCATAGGGATTTCATTAAGAACATGATTACTGGCACGTCTCAGGCTGACTGCGCGGTATTGATTGTCGCTGCGGGTACTGGTGAATTTGAAGCTGGAATCTCCAAGAATGGCCAAACTCGCGAACACGCCCTGTTGGCCTTCACTTTGGGCGTCAAGCAATTGATTGTTGGCGTCAATAAGATGGATTCGACTGAACCACCATACAGCGAGACTCGTTTTGAGGAGATTAAGAAAGAAGTTTCTTCTTACATCAAGAAGATTGGCTACAACCCAGCTGCAGTTGCGTTTGTTCCAATTTCTGGATGGCATGGCGACAATATGTTGGAAGCGACCGATAAAATGCCATGGTTCAAGGGGTGGAATATTGATCGCAAAGAAGGCAAAGCGGACGGAAAAACTTTGATCGAGGCTCTTGATGCCATCTTACCTCCTTCTCGTCCAACCGAGAAACCGCTTCGTCTTCCATTGCAGGTAATTAATTTTATTTAGGACCTATCTAATGTGATGGATTTTTTTTGTAAATATTTGTTTATGATATTTAGGATGTTTACAAAATTGGAGGCATTGGAACAGTTCCAGTCGGCCGTGTGGAGACGGGCGTTTTGAAACCTGGGATGGTGGTTACTTTCGCTCCAGTTGGTTTAACTACTGAAGTTAAATCTGTTGAAATGCATCACGAAGCTCTCCAAGAAGCTGTTCCTGGAGACAACGTTGGCTTCAATGTTAAAAACGTATCCGTAAAGGATTTACGACGCGGTTACGTTGCTGGAGATTCTAAGGCATCGCCGCCTAGAGGAGCATCTGATTTTATGGCTCAAGTTATTGTCTTGAATCATCCGGGTCAAATTGCTAATGGCTATACTCCGGTGTTGGATTGCCATACTGCTCATATTGCTTGCAAGTTTGCCGAGATAAAAGAGAAATGCGATCGCCGTACTGGTAAAACCACTGAAAATGATCCGAAATCCATCAAGTCTGGAGACGCAGCTATCGTCAATCTGGTTCCTTCTAAGCCGATGTGCGTGGAGTCCTTCCAGGAATTTCCTCCTTTGGGGCGTTTCGCTGTTCGCGACATGCGTCAAACTGTCGCCGTGGGTGTAATAAAATCGGTCAATTTCAAAGATACTGCTGGCAAAGTAACGAAATCTGCTGAGAAGGCCCAGAAGAAGAAATAACTAGACTTAGCGAAGTCTGCTGCCAAAGACGATATAGACGTCTACATCAACAACAACCGTTTATTATTCTCAAGATGGCTCCAGCAGAATTACTTTCATCGCAAAGAGTTTCGAAGGAAAAACTTCTTGGTTTACTTTAAGTTTCACGTTAGGTTTATTTAAATTATCAATATTTATTTAATATTTGTTTTTCTCATAACTTTATTTCTTGTTATTTTAATTTTGCACGAAGGAGCATTTATTTCTTGGTTTTCCTTATGTTTTATGAATTCTTTGAATACTCTGTATCTCTTTTAAATTATTCAATGCTAGACATCTAAATGCATGTTTACTTGTGACAGCTTCTGTAAATATTCAATAAAGAAGCTCGTAACCCAAACTATCCACGTTTTTCATTTACCAAATATAATTAAATATTCCTGTAATAATGTGTTCATTAGGTCAGAATATGGTATTAAAGATTCCGCACTACATAGACACCTACCATATTCAGAAAATAATGTAATATTGAACGATCACACCAGATAATTAGAATTAATAAATACTTAAATTTGTAAAAAATATTTAAAACAAATATAAGATGAATATACTATATCCATATACTAAATCAATAGTTAAATAATATCAAGTATGACCTAGTTTTAACAACAGGCTTTTTTCTAAATAGTTATCCATGTCAGTCTTTAAATCTCTCTTACTTATCTATGTACCTTCGATTGTTTGTACATTGTAAAAAAATATGAGTTACGGTGACCAAGAGCCACAGTTCGGAGAATTCAAAAGATTCATCCTGAACAGATAAGCAGCTAAATAGTTATCCGTTTCGAATAATTTGAAATCTATCAATCTGATATGCCCGACTTCTTACAGAATTGATCATTGATACAAATCCATAAATTAAATTAAATTTCTATTTTAGTTAAGATAGAAATGTATGTAGAATAATTATATCATGTAATATAGAAGAAAATAGATTTTGTTGTATATACATATGGTATAGTGGTATATTTCCTAACTAACTTTTGCTCATAGCGCCACCGCTATTACATGGAAAAAAGTCAAACTAATAAGTCTGTGTCTTATTTAATAATACATTTTTAGGTTATTTTGTATATTACTGATAATTTCCTAAAACATTAGCAATGAACTTTAGTGGTCTAAAACCAATCACATCAATATTAACAAATGTGTTATCATCAATAACAGTAAGTTATCAATATGCCTTGGCATATAAAAATTTAAATATAAATTCATTTTAGATAAATCCAGTACGAACGAAATGGGTTGATCATCGTATGATTCGCGATGTAAAACGGAGGAAATTAACAACAGAAATGGCCCCAATGAGATTACGTGTAAATTCTTTAAGGAAAAACGATATTCTGCCTCAGGAGATCAGAGAAATGGCAGATGCCGAAATACATGCTTTTCCTAGAGATTCCACATTATTCAGGTGCAAGAAACGTTGTGTTGTCACATCCAGACCAAGAGGTGTTGTATTTAGATGGAGATTAAGCAGAATAGTATTCAGACACTTGGCGGATTATAACAAGCTGTCTGGTGTACAGAGATCCATCTGGTAGAGGGTTTACGTTCAACCATTGTAGTTCTACTGTGTAAATAAATTATGAAAAAATAATTAAATAATTTATTTTTTTACGTTGAATATTGTTCTCGATAAATATAAATATTTGATAGTAAGTATATTAATACATTTTCGACATATAATGTAATTAAAACGCCATAAAGTTGTATATGATAAAATATTTTACTAAACTATTATAAATAATAAGAAGTAAGCAATGTCACCTGCAATAATGATTATTTTCACGAATGGCAATGAAACAATATTTACAATATTATGCACTTAAAATATGAATACAACTATAGTACAAAAACATATATTGACAAATATTATTCTAGAGTAAAGAATATTTATATAATATAATCCTATGTGTAGCACAAATTAAAGTGCCTAATAATAATTTTAAAAAAATTTAATAATTTTATTTTCAGTAACGCTATTGCAATAAGCAATATCTTATTGAGATTGCCCAATTAAATAATAATATATAAATAAAAATGATATATAATAGTATGTACAAACAAATTTTTGTATGTAATGGAATATATATATAATCATTGACATGAAAGACGCTAGAATTTATGAAGATTTCTTGCGTCTTGATTATACATACACTGAGATCTACTTAATTCAAAAAACAATGTTAATTGAAAGTATAGATTTTGACTAGAGTTGTGTATAATAGATAACTGATATTATACTGAATTATTAAGAATTACTTGTCTACAATTAATTCCTGATGTTTCTCCAATAAACCTTGAAAGTCTCCATTAGTTTCATGAGTTAGTTGATGTTTTTTGAGTTGTCCTAATTGAGTAAATGATCTGCTACAATTGCATACATAAGGTTTTTCACCAGTGTGTTTTCTTACATGTATTTGTAAATTACCATTGGTTGTGAAGGATTTACTACAATAGTCACAAACATATGGCTTTATATCATCATGAATTCGTTTATGAACTTGTAGAGTAGCCTTAGTGGAGAAATTTTTTTCACAAATATCACAAGCAAATATTTGATCATTTTCGTGTAGGAGCATATGAGTGTTAAGCTGTACTTTTTGTATAAAAGATTTCTCACAAATTTGGCATACATAAGGCTTTTCTTTAGTGTGAACACGAATGTGAGTTTTTAAGTTACCTTTTGTTGTAAAACTTTTCGAACAATATTCACATGCATAGGGTTTATCCTGTGTATGAGTTCTAATATGTATTTGCAAGTTACTTTTCAATGTAAAACACTTGTAGCAGTAGGTACACATGTAAGGCCTAGTTCCTAAATGCTTTGGAATGTGAATATGCAGTTCCTCTTGTGATGGAAATGTTTGTTTACAAGTGGAACAAACAAAAGAATTACTAGTTTGATTGATTGTTTTAGCATTTGGTATATTTAATTCCACTTTGTTATGAACTACATTATTCTGCTTTGTGGCATCTAGGCTGTGATAAGATTTGTTTTCATTTACCCTTACATCAGCTCGATGATCTCCCTGGTGTTGATAGAAATTAAAATTTGGCTCAACCATAATCTCTTCATGATTCAAGTAATCTGCATTGGGCAAAAGGTTGATTAGTTTCACAGGAGAGATGAATGATTTCATGTCCATTGTCCGATTTAGATGTGCCCAAATTTTCTCTTCTGATCTCAAACACTTCACCTTCAATTGGTATGCATTTTCTAGAGCAGCTGAACATGGACCACAGATAACAGGATCTTGAATAACATCCAAATTCTACAATAAGATGTACACATTAATAATAAAATACACATCAAGTAAATAATGTTTATGTACCATTTCAGGTATTAATGTTAAAAGCTTTGATTTTATGGATGGCTGACCAAAATTTAGACTGATGAAGTTGTTCTGCGAACCTTTCTGTAAGCACAACCTGCATATATCTTCGGACATTTTCCTAGAGAAATTATGGAAATATGAAGCAATGGTTATAAGAGACTGGCAATCTGTCATTTATATAATTTTTGGAAAATAGATTCACAGCAGATAAAATCCCTCGCTTTAAACGAGACACTCCACCTACTAAAGAAACTATAAGCTTGTGATAACATAAATGAAGTTAGCCATGTTATTCTAATGAAGATGAAAACAGATTTTTTTTACAAGGCGTGTCATTGTACTAGACAAACAGGTGCAAATAAATTTCTACGAATGTTTAGCTGATCATTTAATTCTTTAACATATATATATTTTGTAAATATATTTTTCAGATACTAAAGAAAGCGATATAATGAACTTAAAGCAGTCATAAAAAAAAAGTCAATAGTGGTAACATTTCAATCAATACGCCCTCTTTCACACTATTAATCCTAGTATTCATGTGTATTCTACTGAAACACTGATTAAATTACTTTTATTTATATATAATACCTTACATTTTATACGTGTTATGCTGCTTCCACATTTTGTTAAATCTTTAGCCTTCTACTATTGATCATAGTATGTGTGCGCGTCTGTATGTGTATAAATATATATAAAATATATATA